TCACACGCATCAATTAGTAATACTATATCACACCCATCAATTAGTAATACTATATCACACACATCAACTAGTAATACTATATCATACCAATACATGTAATCATACACTTAATCTATCACACGCATCAATTAGTAATACTATATCACACCCATCAATTAGTAATACTATATCACACACATCAAATATTAATACTATATCATACCAATACATGTAATTAAATACTTAATCTAGCACACACATCAATTAGTAAGACTATATCACACACATCAACTATTAATACTATATCATACCAATACATGTAATCATACACTTAATCTATCACACGCATCAATTAGTAATACTATATCACACCCATCAATTAGTAATACTATATCACACACATCAAATATTAATACTATATCATACCAATACATGTAATCATACACTTAATCTATCACACGCATCAATTAGTAATACTATATCACACCCATCAATTAGTAATACTATATCACACACATCAATTAGTAGTACTATATCATACCAATACATGTAATCATACACTTAATCTATCACACGCATCAATTAGTAATACTATATCACACACATCAAATATTAATACTATATCATACCAATACATGTAATTATATACTTAATCTGGCACACGCATCAATTAGTAATACTATATCACACACATCAACTATTAATACTATATCATACCAATACATGTAATCATACACTTAATCTAGCACACGCATCAATTAGTAATACTATATCACACACATCAATTAGTAGTACTATATCATACCAATACATGTAATCATACACTTAATCTAGCACACGCATCAATTAGTAGTACTATATCATACCAATACATGTAATTATATAATACCAATACATGTAATTATATACTTAATCTGGCACACGCATCAATTAGTAATACTATATCATACCAATACATGTAATTATATACTTAATCTAGCACACACATCAATTAGTAATACTATATCACACACATCAATTAGTAATACTTATAAATGTTACACAGCTTAAAAATCCAACAGTATGTAATGATCATTATACAGGTTCACAGTTACAAACTAAGTTATGTGTAACTGTTAATGTAACCAGTATTGTAATAACCATTTCGTTAAGTAGATTTTAACACAAAAAATATATGTTTTTAACTTTTTTACCGTATAAGAGGTTATTTACGCGGGCTTAAATTTTCATGATTTTGACCCAAAATTGGAAATGTAAATTAACACAGACAATAATTTTGCAATCTAAACATGTGAATGATTTCAATTTTTGGGGTGTTGTAATGTTTCAGAAAGTCAAATGCTTTATAACATCATATGGAGCAACAACAACCAAGTGTTACCAACAAAACTATCAGATGTGTGATATAATCTATATCCTAACATATTGTATTACTCCTGATGTATACTAATCGTCATGACCACATGTTCCCTATTCCATGACAACATAACGGTTATGAAGTTTATCATCACAGCTAAATGTTTCACTTGTATTATTATTCTGTAGATTATATTTTCATGACCACGTTATTAATCAGCGAAATCGCGAAAATTATTATCCCTGTGGAAATATCCTGCTTTAGGTATTACATAATTCATGATCATACATTAAACAAATGTGGCCCAGATTTCCAGAATACAAAATAAAATTGTAAGATTTTAGGACTGTTACTTGCTGATCGGCTGATTTTGATCATGACAATCTGACAAGACAGGAGAATAGACTGATTCTTATATTCTCCTGTATGATATATCAGTTGTTAAAGACAGCAATAAGAAGATCAGCAGGAACAGCATTCCTGGTGTAACATAGATCACTGGTTCTACGACAAACTCTCTGTGGTCATCACTCACTGCTATAACAGCATTGTACTCATAACCAATTCTGTTTTCTATGTTGTCTGAAATAGCAAGATCAGGTGATGGGTCGTATGTTGTAGGTTCACAGACATTATTAGTGTCTGCTTGGTCAGTTACCTCGTTATCAATACGTATACCCTGTTCACAGCCAGCTTGGTCAATGCTGATGGTGTCAACACTATGTTCACAGCCAGCTTAGTCAATGCTGATGGTGTCAACACTGTGTTGACAGTCAGCTTGGTCAATGATGATGGTGTCGACACTATGTTCACAGCCAGCTTGGTCAATGCTGATGGTGTCGACACTGTGTTCACAATCAGCTTGGTCAATGCTGATGGTGTCAACACTGTGTTCACAGTCAGCTTGGTCAATGATGATGGTGTCGACACTATGTTCACAGCCTGCTTGGTCAATGCTGATGGTGTCAACACCGAGTTCACAGCCACCTTGGTCAATGCTGATGGTGTCAACACTGTGTTCACAGCCAGCTTGGTCAATGCTGATGGTGTCGACACTGTGTTCACAATCAGCTTGGTCAATGCCGATGGTGTCAACACTGTGTTCACAACCAGCTTGGTCAATGCTGATGGTGTCAACACTGTGTTCACAGCCAGCCTTGGTTAATGTTCTCAAATATTACCCCACCTTCACAGCCAGCCTGTTTAGTCATGACCTCCGTGTCAGTATCTTGTTCATAGCCAGCCTGGTCATTAACCTCAGTGTCAACACCAATTCCACTGCTAGCCTGGTCAACATCAGTTAAAGGGAGGTTAATCTATACATGAATACCAACAGTGCTATGGGACAGGGATCCTTACAGAAGTTAAAGGGAGGTTACTCTATATACGAAAACCAACAGTGCAATGGGACAGGGATCCTTACAAAAGTTAAAGGGAGGTTACTCTATATACGAAAACCAACAGTGCAATGGGACAGGAATCCTCTCAGAAGTTAAAGGGAGGTTACTCTATATACCAATACCAACAGTGCAATGGGACAGGGATCATTGAATACAAATTTACAGAATCAGATTTATAATCCAATACATTTATTTAGGCAACACATAAAAATGGAATGTTCAGCCACCATACCCAAAATATGTACACAAAAAATTAAACGTTCGTTAACATGGATTAACAAGCGGAGTAAAGTATCTTGCTCAAAGATACAACAAAGTGCTGTGACGTGACTGGAACCTGCGACCCTTCGGCCACGAGCCAGGCTACCATTTATAAACAATAACAAACACAGATTTTTTAAGATTTACAGATGTATTATAAAATGAATCACTAAGTATTTACATTACAAAACTGTTCTACACATAATATAATTTACATAGCATAGCAAACACATCCTTAACTAGACAAAACATAGAACAAAATCAAACAAACAAATTGCATTTAGGGCTGTCTTGGCTGCTGCATATATATATTACAAAATTACCAGCATGAAGGAAGATAAATTCAAGATTCCCTACCAGGTGCAAGTCCTAATCCTATGAACAGGAAAAGGCGGTCCTGGTTAAGGGAAATGAGGTAAGTATTAAAGTTTAGAGCTGGTAGACAATGAACAAATGAAGAAATTGAAATTGAATGAGCAGGTTGTGGCCAGGCGATGTCCTGAGTCCTCTTTGAGAACCAGGCGAGAGTCCTGTACCACAAAGACTGCTATCATACATAGTTTGGTTACATAGCCAGGCGAGTCCTGAGCCCTACTGAAGAACCAGGCGGAAAATGGTCCTGTACGATGTAAACTGTGTATGACATGTATATGAAATGAATGAAACCCCAATGACTTTGGTGCTAATCGACCAGTAATGAATGAAACCGCAAAGACCAATGACTTTGGGGCTAAAGTGCGCTAGCACAGAAACGCAGCAACCAAGACTACCAGAAGAAAAGAAAAAACCGGAGCGTGGATGGGGTTGGTGGTGGCCAATTCGAACAATGAAAAACACAGGGAGATGTGGACAGGTCAGCTCAGCATCTCCAAGTGAAGCTAAATATAGCACGCACTAATTAGTATACATAATGACAGACCCAGACAGAGGTCATAGTTCATGTAGTTGACTAAGTGTACTGGGCAATGGATACATGCCCATATGTAAGCAACTAAGTAGAATGAATGACTGAACTGAAGTATTGAAGACACAATTGTTTATAAACAAAGTTTAATAATACTTATTAAACCACAACTAATATGCCTCCTCCAATATATATACAGTAAACAATATCACAATTTAAATTCATAAAGCAAAGTATCAGATTACATATAAATCTGTTTTGGTGGGATTAAGACACCAAGAAAATGAGTTTCCATGTTATGTCCCAATTTTCCTCTATTTCTCCTATTGGGCCTCACATGCACCTTTTTATGCAAATTAAACAAATTGAGTTTTTTTCCCCTAAACATGCTTCAGACCACATTTGATTTAAATCCCTTCATTTGTACAGAAGGGAAAATATATTCCCTATTTCCCCTATTGGGCCCCGCTCCTCTGCTCCTGGAGGGGGCGGGGCACATCTTCCATTTATAAATATTAAATTCCCTTTGCCCAAATGTTCTCTAGAACAAGTTTGGTTAAAATCCCTTCAACGGTAGAGAAGGAGAAGGATCTTTAATGTTTTCCTCTATTTCCCCTAATGGGCCCCACCTATCTGCCCCAAAGAAGGGGCCCCACACACCTCAGTTTATACAAATTGATCCTTTTGTCCCTAATCATACTTCAGACTATATTTGGTTTAAATCCCTCCACTTGTATAGTAGGAGAAAAAATTCCTCTATTTCCCTTATTGGGCCACGCCCTTCTGCCCCCAGAGGGGCCACACCCTCAGTTTATACAAACTTGAGGCTCCTTTGTCCAAAGATGCTCTAGAACAAATTTGGTCAAAATCCTTTTGTTGGTTGAGAAGAAGATTTTTAAAGATTTACCTATTTTCCCCCTATTTGGCCCCGCCCCTCAGCCCCCAAGGGGAAAATACCCTCCGTTTATACAAAACTGAGAACCCTTTGGCTAATGATGCTCCAGACCAAATTTGGTCAAAATCCTCTGAGCTATTAAGGACAAGTAGCGTTTTAAAGGGAAAAGTTGACGGACGACGCACGCTGCGCCATGGCATAAGCTCACTTGGCCCTTTGGGCCAGGTGAGCTAAAAAACAACAACAATGTAAAAAATACAAATCTTGAATGAAAGATTTTCTATAAATACTGATGGTGACCTTGACCCAGAAAAGCATTCCAATACTTGCTTACTAAGTACATCATTTGATCAAAATCCATTCAGAAATGAAGTCACTACGTATACTTCATGGCAATGCTTTTCTGTACAGTGAAGATAACCTTGCCCTGGATACCCTGAAACAGGAATGTGTCTAACAAATTCTCTTACTTAACCAGTTATATAGAAAGTTTGATCAAATTTGTTCAGATATGAAGTTGCTAGAGCACTAAAAATTATTTTCTATAAATAATAATGATGACAATTAGAAATCCTGAAACACAAACTCGTTTCAGATATTTCATATCTGACTAATACTTAAGTTCAATCAAAGTCTGTTCAGAAAAAAGTGGATACATCAATTTCTGCAATAACAGTGTTCTTTTTTTTGGTTAAACTTTTACCATGATTGTCATGGATAAATGTTGATTTCACTTGTCAAAGACATGAGTCAAACAAATTATGTGGACAAAACAACATTTGAAAAGAAACTGAAGAGTCCTGATGGAACTATAATGCTCACCTGGTATCTTCTATTACAAGTAAACTTCAAAGTGAGCCAAGGGCAAATATATGTAAATGGACTACCAGGTCAATTAAGTTTCAGGCTGAATATCATTACTTGTTACTCTTGGTTATTCAGAAGAACCTGTTGAAAGATTTAAATCCATTTATCCCTGCGTCCTTGAAAGTGGGGATGGTCATTAATTTGACCAAACTTGACAGACCTTCAATATTCAGAAGAAGGTTTCTGAGTATTTTAACACATTTGACCTCTGTGACCTTGAAAGAAAGTCAAGGTTATTCATTTGAACAAAATTTGAATACTGTCATCACAGCATGCTAATGGTCAGATATATCATCACTCTAAACCATTTGATTCGAGAAGAAGTTGTTTCAAGATAGTAACATAATTGAGCCCTTTGACCTTGAAAGAAGGTCAAGGTCATTAACTTGGACAAACTTCATAGTTTTTTCATCCCAGCATGCCACTGTCCATATATCATCATCTTAAGCATGTTGGTTATTATGAAGAAGTTGTTTGAATGGAAAAGGTGATGGTGGACGACAGATTCCAGATGCCACGGTATGGCATTTAGCTCATCAGCACTAAGAGCTAATAAATGTCGAGTTTAATTCTTACATATATTTGTAATAAAACATCCCTTAACAAAGAGCGCAAAAAAACACACCAAAAAAGCATGAACAGTACACGCATATTAATACATTATATACAACATATATTAGCAATTTTCATTATGCAAACAGCAACTGAGTCAGTGAACTATATATCAAGTAACTAATCAGAACATGGCATAATAGTGAATGTATTACAAATGATGATACTACAATATACTACTATGGAGTTTACCGAATCATGTTTCTCAGTTTAAAATTTAATATGGTTAAATACATAGACTGCAATATTCTACAATAAATTGATGCAACTAAGTTTTTTTTATCTTTCTTTTTTTTAGATGCAAAGAATGTTTATCATATGAGATATCTTATTTACAAAACAAAAACATTTCAACAAATCAAAATGTCTGTACAATGTACTGTATAAACTTGTTTACCTCATTTTATCCTGGATGGAGTTTACTCAACTTTAATTCACTCAAAAATATGAATAATATCTAAATCAGTGATGTGCAGCAGGCCAAGTTTATAGGGCTTCCAAGTCCAGCCATCTCACAACTTTTCATGGTGTGCCAGAGGATTGCATCCTGTTCTGCAAATCATGTAATCCCCTCCTCCCCTCCCCTAAAATAATCCCAGCACTCTTGACTTAATCGTCAGGATGAAAAAGGTTAAGTGTCATTGATCGAGCTTCAGAAAAACAAGCTTGTCTGTTTTTATATCTACATGTATATTCCATATGGTAGGACACCAACTTAACTTGATGCTTCAACTCAGTCTAAAGTTTCAGAGGAATTAGTCACTTTAAATGAAGGCACTAGAGTGACTATGTCATTGTACAACTTTTTATTTCTGTTACTAGAGACCTTGACTTGGGATACAAAATAATGCGATATAACTCAATAAAGCAATTTAATCACTTCGAACGAAAGTGACAAAGCTATGAACTCACAGCACAAAGTTTCCTATTTTTAATAACAGTGACCTTGATCATGCTTTTTCAATCAGATTCAAAATGAAACATGCAAACGTATAGACCAAGGGAAACCTACATATGATTTATAAGAAAGAGCTGTCAAGGGAATTCTCGAAAAATAGTGATAACAATCTTGAACTATCAAAAGCAATTGGGCTTAATGTGTACAATTACGAACCAAGGGAAATATATGCATGAAAGTCAAGACGGATTTGTCAAATACTTCTGGAGAAATAGTGATGTCAATCTTGAATAGTTATAATCTAAGATGACGGTCTGACTGCCATCTTTATTTCCTGACCAGTTTAACTCATTCATTGGTATTGGTATTGCCATTACAACAAATGCAACAGCAATCCCCATTGCAAGTTGCTGGTTCTAATCTGCATTATGGTTGTTGGTATTTGGATTTGGCTCATGGTCTGCGATAGCCAGCACACCAGCATCATTCTGTGGTGGATGCTGTATTGGACCGTCAAGGATTTCCACTGCTACAGGATTATTTTGGTGTGGGAACTGATTGTATAACTGGAGAGGCAACTCAAGGTCTGCGATAGCCAGCACACCAGCATCATTCTGTGCTGGATGCTGTATTGGACCTTCAACGACTTCCACTGCTACAGGATTATGTTGGTGCTGTTGTGGATTAAATAACTGGAGAGGCGACTCATGGTCTGAGACAGCCAACACATTAGTATGATTCTGTGTGAGAACTCCATTACCATACATGTAGTTATTAAAAACTACAGCATACACTTGTACTACTTGATTGTTCAGCTGCGTAGACAAACTTCCAAGAAATTTGTTTCCGTACTTTTGCTGATCAGACTTAGGGAAACAACCTTTTCTGGTTACATTGAAGTCCTTCACAAGTAAATGGCAGACAAGCTTCATGCATGCCTTCCCAGTATACAGCGCGTATGATTTATTACGGCAAAGGAGAACACACTGCAGATACATCATCTTAGCCACCAAGTATGGTCCATCTCTGTGATGGACAGAAAACAGCATGTACATCCGTGTCACAAAGTATGGTCCGTCTTTGCGATGGAGAGAAAACAGCATGTACATCATCTGTGTCACCAAGTATGGTCCGTCTCTGTGATGGACAGAAAACAGCATGTACGTCATCCGAGCCACCAAGTATGGTCCGTCTCTGTGATGGACAGAAAACAGCATGTACATCATCTGTGTCACCAAGTATGGTCCGTCTTTGCGATGGACAGAAAACAGCATGTACATCATCCATGTCACAAAGTATGGTCCGTCTCTGTGATGGACAGAAGACAGCATGTACATCATCCGTGTCACAAAGTATGATCCGTCTCTGCGATGGACAGAAAACTGCATGTACATCATCCGTGTCACAAAGTATGGTCCGTCTCTGCGATGGACAGAAAACTGCATGTACATCATCCGTGTCACAAAGTTTGGTCCTTTTGGCACAATCTGATGTTCTGGTATATAAGAATTGCATACACTGGACTTGTGATTCTCACAGGTTTCCTGTACAAGAGTCTGGCCATACTTATAACTGTCTTGATCAAGAGCCTGGTCATTCTCAAGCATATCCTTTTCTGTGTTTACAGTATAATTGTTTTCATATTGATTACCAAGAACCTCGACCAATGAACTTAGACACAGATTTGTTTTCTTTTTATCATTAACCAGTTTGTCCTCAGCAGATGGTAACCCTTCCACATTCCTGTTGTCTTGTGCTAGCATAACATCCCTACAATGACTGGTACATCCACCTGACTGACCTAAGCCTGTCAAGTTATCTGATGCAGTCTGATGAAATTCACTAACTGAACTCTCCTCTGGTGTAGTTCTTGTATCTCCCTTCACATTTTCACAAGGCTGAACTCTATCACTAATTATGGCATTAGTAAGTTCACCTTGATTCTCACGAGATTCATTCTGTTGTATAGGAAACTCTGGGTCTCGTGGTACCTGTTGTAAGAGCGTCATTGTCATATGTTCCTCCTGTACTGAGTCGGAGCTCTTGCTGTGTGATCTGTTCTTCGGGACAGACATTATGATGGTGCTCATTTAGTATTCTGAAAAAGAACAATAGGCCAAAAACAATTATAAATAAGTGAAAAAAACAAATGCATCTATTCCTTATCTATAACATTTTTGCCAGTGAAAAATTAAATTCTATCAACTTGATAACAAGAGGCCCCGAGGGCCTGCATCACTCAACTGCTATTACACTCACACTTTTCAGCTGAAGATTGGACCAAGATCAAACATACTAAATTAGTCTAAATGAAGATATATGATATATAGGATATTTGTTGACGGACGATGGACGCTGCACCAAGACTTAAAGACCCAAAGGGCAAGTAAGCTTATGTCTTGGTGTGGCGTCCATCAAAATGTGATTTGTTTATACTTTGTGGAAGGACAACAAGGGTAAAGGCCATTGCAATAGTTCAACTTAGATATTGTCTCTGGTTACAGACTGATCTGTGGACACAACACTTCAACTATAACTTTCATCTGTGCAAAGTGTCGCTTATCTCTAGAGATGTAATCATCACATGACCTAGATACCACACAAGGTCTATATAAATTAAGGGACCTGAATACCACATAAGTTCTATGGAAATTAAGGGATCTGGATACCAAATAGTTCTATGTAAATAAAGGGATCTTGATACCAAATTAATTCCATGTAAATTACGTGATCTAAATACCACATAACTTGTATGTAAATTACTAAAATTAGGGGATCCGGATACAAAGTAAGTTCTATGTAAATTAGGGGATTTTGATACCACATAAGTTCTATATAAATTAGGACACCAGAATACCACATAAGTTCTAACATGTAAATAAGGTTATCTGGATACCCCATTAGTTCTATGTAAATTAGAGGAACTGGATACGCAATAAGTTCTATTTAAATTAGAATGGGGGCACCCCCTTATCCCCTGCTGTTGGGGAACCTGTCACTGATGTTGAATGTATGTCCTCTGTAGGTGTAAGAAAGTTAACCTTCAGTCTAGGCAGACTGACACTCCCGGTAATGCAAGCCTACCTCAATGTAAACTCACTAAGCTTCAAGACATGACTAGTTTGTTTGTTTGTATGGTTGTTGTTTAATGTCTTCACAACAGCCATGGTACTATAATATAAGGACAGTCAATATTTGATTAACAGCAATAAATAGGAATATTTCTGTCTGTATTAATGTGTCATTTTCCGAAGCACTATCAAATGTACCTGCTGTTTCCAATTGTCAGGAATTAGGCTAACATGCACTTTTAAAGTTATAAATTATCAGCTAAATACATTGCCAGTACTGTTTCTTATACTTACGTATTTCAAAAGTTGTTCCTGACAATGAAATTATATCAAATACATCGTAACGTCGGTAAACTTGGTGTTCATCGCCATTTCTGACCTTAATTTTGACGGTGAGGACATAGGTCAGATCATGATCAGTGTCTCTAAAACACTTGATCAGTGAAAGAATTACAAATTTAAAGGCAGCCTAGCAGAATATAGAGTATGAAAGGTGACACACTCTAGGATTGTATCTAGTACATGTACAGCCATCAGGAGAGTTTATATAGGCCATACTGATATAACACAGTGTCAAGTAGGTATAGGTGTGTCTATAGATCTGTAAAGCATAGACGCTTATTATCTTCACACACACTGCACACACAGCTACGCCTTCTGCATGCTTTATAGACCTTACATCATCAGATCATTTTAATTTTCATATACGTATGTCTACTGGACAATGAGAACAAAATACATTTTAGTATATACATATATATATATATATATATACCTGTTCATCTTCAATACTGTGTTTGCATATCTCATTTTTATAAAACAGTCCATCAGGAGGGCTGTGATAGCAAACATTTATCTTCTGTATGCAATCTGATTTAAATCATCTGTTACATTAATCAGGCGTAGTTTGAAGTTAACGGAGCCTAACAGATGATTTTAATCAGATTGCTTCTGTATGGAGACAACCATCAGCTTTACTGATAACAATATACAGAATATCAAAGATTTCCTTGCTATTAAAACTTGTACATCATCTTTGTACTCTTTATCCTACAAACCTTTAATATGAAAACAAGGAAATATATATAGTTTTTATAATTTCAATAAAATCATATTTCAAACCATTAATCTAATCATTTCTACTGGACAAGTAGACAAGTCAAGGTGTAATAATATTTACATAACTAGCAGCTAAAACAAGCTTAGACATTAATTTGAATTCAGTTAGAAATGTCTAGTATTAAATTAAATGTGGAGTACAATTTAAAAGGCTGGTATGTTGCTATGTTCTGACTCAGGAAGCACTACCATGTAATTTGTGTGTGCACTTGTACGTTATAGGTCAGCTGTTCTACAGAATACAGATACAGAAGCTTTATTTTATGTCGAATATTATAAACATACAACATAAGCTACGAAGAGCTTGTATTTCGACAATATTTCTGAAGTCTGTTGTATAGGAAACTCTGGGTCTGGATTTCTGAAGTGGTGACCCCTGCAACACTCCGAATACCAGGCACTTTATCCCACATTACTACTATATGTTTTGTGGATGTTTTCTGCACAACAGCTGGGGGTAAACAAAGGAATGCAGAGGAACTGCGACCCCAAACCCGACCCCCACTTAACTACAGGCAGTAAATCAGTCACTCGGTGCTCGTTTGATGACCTTCACATACTGTACTCCTCACTTATCGAACAGATCATCAAAACAGATCTTTAAGGGATTACAATGCCTCTTCTGTGTATTTTTTTTTCTTCTTTTACTTATCAATCATTCCCAAAAAACATCATATTCTTCCATAAAGTTAACAAACATTTCAAAAAGAATGTTCATCTCTTTTGTGTAAGGCCTGTCAATATTGATCTGTAGGCAAGAAAAAGAAGGGTGACTACAAATATAGGAGAAGGAAAGGGGCTAAGTATTTGTCAATAGTATTGTATACTCAGTCACACCTACTCAAGAGACTGTTTTAAGAGACCACTTTTAATTCCAATTACATTTATTTTCATAACTAAACCTATGCTAAGGGACAATCTGCAATAAAAGACCACTTTATAGATTTCTAGAAGGTGGTCTCTGAATATAAATTTTACTGTACCAATTACGTTTACTCAGGAAACGTCATGGACAAAATACATTGAATTACTTAATATTCAAAAGATCATATAAAACTATTACAATCACCTAGAACCACATGTTATACCTCTATGGAAAGCTTAAATAGTTATCTATTACTTCATATAATTACATGTGATTCAGCACTTAGTGTGCATATTGCTATACCGGCCGAAATTAAAGTATATTGTAGAAACTTGCAGATGTGGAATGTTTTACCTTTAGTGTATGACAACGAATTAGAACGTGTGTACGATCTGTTGAACGTGCACATAGAACCGGTGAGCCATTTTCTCTATTTTGTACATGTATTCACCAACAGGTGAGACATTCTTCTTGTAAGTTATCAATGGTTTGATTCAGTTAACATAACTAAGACAAATAAAAAAAAGTACTGAATATTTCAGTCAACATTATATTAACTATTTCAGTGTTTTTATTGACGTCTTCAAGTTCATAATACCATAACCTATTCTCACCGATTCTTGCTCGCCGAGGCACGTATATCTTCGTCAAACTAGGTAAGTAATTAGTAACTGTTTGAAGCGACTTGGAGAACCACAGCTCCTTTAAAGTTGGAAGAATGCTAACAGAACTTGGCGTACGCTACCGCAATTTACGTATACGTGTCATGGCGAAAATTGGTGCAAAGGTCGGCAACCAGCACATCTCTTGATTCGATCCTAATATATTTGAATCCGAACGCGCCCCTTAATTGTTACATTACTAATTATGCACTGGAAACTTTTCCCAGTATGAAAAATATTTGATAAATCATATCTGGGAAGAGAAAGAGACATACCTTATGGAACCTTTATGAAAAAAAGCGATGAAATAAAAAGTAAAAAAATGCAACGGTCCGAATGGGTTTGGCACACCGGACCTCAGACCATTATACTGTTAATCTAGCCAACTTCTCTGAACAACAGTATACACTGGCTCAGTTGCGATACAGATAAAACAAAAAAAAGAAACTAGGGTGGGGGTAACTGTGTGTATGAAAATCTACTACGGAAAATAAGCTTACATCACTGTTAAATCGAATATAGGAGGCAGGGTACGTAGTCTAGTGGTAGGAGGCCGGGCTCGTGACTGAAGGGTTGCGGGTTCGAGTCACGGCATAGCACGGCACTGTGTTGTATCTTTGAGCAAGATTCTTTACTCCGCTTGTTCCAGTCTACTCAGTTGTAAAAGAGTATGTGATTAGGCAGCACTAGAATTGTTGAATGGCAGTTCTGGCTGTATGCTCCCCAGGGAGTTGAAAAAGATATTGGCTGGTTGCAAAGGCCCTATAACCAAGGATAATAATTTGTGAACCGCTTTGAGACGACCTACGAATGAGGTTGTGATAAAGCGATATATAAGAACCTCAAATTATTATTATTAAAATGCCTTTTTTAAGCTTCCTAAAATGAACTATTAAATTCTTGGAGCAAGATTCATATTTTGGATAAATTTAACGCCTTTATCTCAATACCCCTTAAGTTTTACCAAAATTTCTTTGTTTATTTCCTATAGGAATAAAACGGCGATGATTGTGATAATGGCCTTATAATACTTTACTACAATTATTACTTTGTAAACACATGCTGAATGCATTATGTTACAATTTCTGGACATCTGAGTTTAATGATATAATTAACAAGCAAAATAATCACAAACTAGAACTGTCGCCTATGGGCTAACTAATACCCCCCCATTCACAATGTAGCTTGCATCTTAATGTTACATTTACTCCAAGATATGTGTATACAAAATACCTACCATTTCTACCATAATTAGCCATTTCAGTAACATAATGCATCTGTGACTTTTGACATTTGACCTACCTCATGACCTTGGAATTTTGTCACAATATAGCCTGCACAATTGGCTACGATACTCTTATGTATATGTGTACACAAAATACCTACTGTTTCCAAGATAATAGGCCATTTCGGTAATGTAATTCATTCAGGACCTTTGACATCTGACCCCACGACCTCGGAAGCTGTCAGTGGAGTAGATTGCATTAATGCCTACAATATTTCAATGTACATGTGTGTACAAAATACCTACAGTTTCCGAGATATTTAACCATTTCAGTAACATAATTCATTTGTGACCTTTGGCCTTTGACCCCAAGACCTCGGAAATTTGTCAGTGGAGCAGCTTTCAATAATCCCTACAATATTCCAATGTGTATGTGTATACAAAGTACCTACCGTTTCTGAGATATCTAGCCATTTCAGCGATGCAATTCATTTGTGACCTGTGACCTTTGACCACATGACCACAGAAGTTTGTTAGAAAATACCTACCGTTTCCGAGAAAATTAGCCATTTCAGGAACCGTAATGTACGGTCTGGAACTCTGGTAACTATTGAAAGAACATAATGGCGTTCTGGGAGACTGAAGTTCATTTGAGGTAGAAAATGTGTGTAAAGTTTCATCAAAATTCATGCATAAACCTAGGAGTAGGAGGTACAATTTTTTGTCTACAGACAGACATAGACAGAATGATTCCAGTATACCCCCCCTCCCCCTAACTTCGTTAAACAAAATACGACCAAAGAGTAGTTTTGTATTGTCCACATTAACATGCAAGATAAAAGCCTTAGGAGGAAAAAAACCAAGAACAAGTCATATAAAAACAAATATATAGTTTATTGAAAAAACAGTGTCTGAACAAAAATTAAAATGCAGTATATCCCATACTCTTTATCATTTACATTTGTCACTGGTTAAATATGTATCATAGCTAACTTCTATAATTTCTAAGCATTATTATTAATATCTGAACATTTTCCTCAGGTTGGTTAGAATGTATTATATGAAGTTTCATGTAGCACAACCAGTAAGTGTTTATGTGGGACGTTTTGATGACTAGTACGATATGTACTCTGTCGCCTTCATCAGACAGATGAATGGTAAAACATATCTATACATGTCTATACATCTATACATCTATATATGTACAAGTTTGGGCAATACAATCGCTGTTGATTTGGCGACACTACAAGCACAATGCAAGAGCAGAATTACTTTGAAATGAAAATGTGGATATCTAGAATGGGCACTCAATTGGGTACCAAACAGTTTCAAAGTGAAAGTAAGGGGAAGGACAAGAAAAGGATAATCAAAGAGAAGAATCAAATGGAAGGTCAGGTGGTCATCTCTTATATAAAAGGATTACCTACAATTGTCCAGAGAATCAATCATGGCCATAGCATAGCAACAGCCCTGCGAGGACACTTAGTAATAACCTTTTACACCCTAAGGATAAAACGTCGCAAAATGTGTGTACAAAATCAGATGCAACAACTGTGACTCATCATATGTTGGAGAAACTGGAAGACAATTTGGGGTCCGACTTGTTAAACATTGGATAGCTTCACCCTATCAGTAAGGAAGAAGTCGGATGAAAATATCTACAATCACAGACCACACAGCAAAATCTTGTTATTGACTAGAGTAACTCTTAAGTGTTAGCCAGAGAGAGCAACCACTTCAAGTGGCAGATAAAATCCAGTAGGCCAGTTCTGAATCGAGATCATAGTCTCCAACACATTACCAGGTATAAAACAAAGTGAAGCCAAATCAACTTGTCAATCTAGTTGCCATCTTTTACATGCATCACAATGAAGTGTACATACATTTATGATGTTGCTAAATCTACAGCAATTTTACTGGAATGTTACACCTATTCCTAACAGAGGTCATTATATTTCCAATGCCTCTGCTACGAGTCGAACCTGGGACCTCTGGTTTACTAGTCTCTTGAGTAGGAAGGAAGAATTTTACCACATAAACACTTCACTGGTTGTGCTACATGACTCTGTATGTGTTGTAAGGCTTTTTTTTGCTATCAAATTAGACAAATGAGAAGAGGCAATTAGCCTTAATTGTTTATTTGTTCATTTTAATTTTTTGTTTTTAATCCATTTGACCCCTTCAATTTAGCAAGTGAAATAAGGACATTCATTTGTTGCTATTCATCTCAGCTAAACACTGGACAAATATCATCACTATAAGCCACCTTAATAGACGGAATAACTTTTGTGAAGTTTTTAACATATTCAAACCCTGTGACCTAGAAAGTATGTATGGTAATTTATTTGAATCAATCTGATGGCCCTTTACTAGTAAGCTACAGGACAAATAGTGTGACTCTACATCTTATAATCAAGTCTGATATTTTGCAACAAGCTATATATATATATACTCTAGGAGGTACAGTACTGAGGGGTACTTTGATATGCTTCAAAATCCTAACTCGGCTCTACTAATTTGCGTAAGGTGGTAAGCCGTACCCGAGTCATGGTATTTCTATTTACAGATACAGAATGAGTCTTGTTCCAAATAGGTAATGTAGGGTTATTCTGTACCTTGACATATAGCATAAACACACAGGTAAACAAGAGGTGGAATGGGCCTGTATCGCTCACCTATTATTTATCTCACATCTTTGACCTTCAAAGCGAGTACCCCCGGTACATTTAAATAGGGCGAATATCATTACTCTATACAATACCAGTCTATGCTGGGAGATTTTATTACCTGATACTCCTCCACATTTCATTGCACTTTACACCATTAAGCTTCAGGTCAAATATCATGACCGTAGGATTCTTCGTTATTCAGAAGAAGTTGTTAAATCTTTTAAACATTTTTAACCCTTGTGACCTTGAAAGTGTGTCAATTTCATTCATTTGAACAAATTTGATAGCCTTTATCAAGTATGCAAGTGGCCAAATATATCACCCTAAACCTCTATCAATTTCAGAAGACAGTGTTTAAAGGTATAAACATGTTTGATACCTGTGACCTTGACTATATATCTAGGTCAAATATTTAAACAAATTGGATAACCCTTCAGTCCAACATGCTACTGGCTTAATATCACGGACCTAGACCTCTAGTTTATTAAGAGGTAGTTTTGGCCAGGTGTGATAATAATACACATTCAATGGACTAGTACATAATGTGGTAGGCTGGTACCTACCTCTTTAATACCAGAAATATAACCTTTACTTATTATTTTTCAAATAGCAAAATATTTCCAAAAATAAGAGATAACACATCTTTTTATCAGGAACCCTAACCAATACTCCAACATTAATATTGTCTTAGCTATAGGGAAACACATTGACACCAGCTGGTGCTAGTAACTTACAGCATTATCTATACAAATCCAGTAATACCCGGTACACAATACCATAACAGTTCCACCTCATCCTAGGATGTCATCAGTTTATTGTGTTCAACTACATGTAGCTGTTCCAATATCGAAAATATATTTCTCAATTTCATAACAAACCTAAAAACTCGGCCGTTCAACACAATTGGAGAAAATTGGAATGAACATTTTCTTTAGTTTTTGGTGAATATTTTTTCTCCAAGAATATATTTTAGGTAACATATTATTTTTATACGAACTTACAAACAAGAGGCCCAAGGGCCTGCATTGCTCACCTGGTAATAATCTCACAATTTTGCAACCTCAAAAGTGGACTAAAATAAAGCTACAGGCAAAATATTAGTGTCTTGACTTAGTCATTCAGAAGAATCTGTTTAACGATTAAAACACATCTGACCACTGTGACCTTGAAAGTCAAACATGGACATGAAGTTGAACAAACTTTATAGCCCTTCATCCAAGAATGCAACTTGCCAAATAACACTATCCTATACCTTTGTTTATTGAGAAGTTGACTTTTAAAAATTTATGCAATATGGACCAGATGTGACAATGAAAGTGTGTCAAGGTCACTCACATCACCAAGCAATCACACTGTGCGCTTCATATTAGTCAGTTATTCAGAAGGAGTCATTTAAAGATTTCAACACATACGACCCCTGTGACCTTGAATATGGACAAAAGTCATTCATTTGAACAAACTTGGTAGCCCTTCATCCCAGCATGCTACTGGCCAAATATCATCAGCCTAGGCCTCTTGGTTATTCAGAAGAAGTTATTTAAAGTAAAAAGTTGACGCCGGACGCAGTACCATGGCATAAGCTCACTTGGCCCGAAAGTGTACATGTACATTTAGATAGAAAAAATTTAATGTATTAGTGTCTATTGTAGCAGTCATAACCTAACCCTATTTTTGAAGAAAGAATCCTCTGTAGCGACTTTAGCTTATTCTTACTTCTGAAGGACAGTACAGCCGAGAACAGAGATTCTGACACACTATACTCAAATGATTACAGCCTCCTAAATGCTGGATACCAAGATAACAGTAAAGAACAGAGATTCTGACATTCTATACTCAAATGATTGCATTTTCACTACCAACAAATCAAACTGATTTTGTCACCCGCCATTACAGGGTGGTTAGGTGGTGCAGTGGAAATGCACTCCCTTTCACTGCACCAACAAGTGAACACATGATGCACAAAACAATGACCCCTGTAGGATGTAAGACCTTGGTAATAAAACATCCAAGGTGAGATTTTTGACCTCATCCAGACATGCTTTAACTTCTTTTATGTAACTCTCCAAAGGCCATAAAACAGTACCTGGAGCAAAACTGAGGGATTTTAAAACAATCGTTGTTTTACTAGAACATGTTCTGTGCAGTTGTTTGCAGGTACCATAAATATACAACCTATTGTATATGTATAACATTTCAAGAAACATAACACACTGTGATTTATTTTTATACACTGGAACACAACTAATACAATTACAGTATGAAAACATTGCAAAATTACGACACTTTCAGATGAAAACAAACCTTTTCTGATGTGTTTATGCAGTAAACCATTCCTGCCCGAAAAATGTAGCATTCGCTTAAGTTTCGCTCACGGAAGTTATACATTTGTAATTAGTAAATGATGCATAATAAATTAGTTGGAAAGCAGTCTGCTTATATCTGAATGTTGTGACGATATATTTCCGCATCGTGAAATTTTGGTGGGTTTAATTTTTTCTTATTTACTCCAAGTCCCATATAAACCAAAATACAAGAACATCCAAAATATCCCAAAGTACTGTAACAAGGTGAGAAATACAATCTACTGCTTGTAATGAGGTATAGATATTCAGTGATTCAAATCCTGAAACACCTAAGACAATCCTAGGTAAACCTTGAGCTTTTTATGATAGAAATACATTTTTCAGAATCCCACCTAGGGAGGGCATAAAAACAAATGATTAACTGGTGCTCTTTAACATGACATCATTAAATTGTCATTTACGTCAGCAGAATAATATTTACTACCATAGCACAGTCAGCATCTGATATCGCCTCAACCATTATAAAAAAGATTGTGGCGAATCGAAGCTTTCACAAACTGCTGTTTACCTCTGGTATACTAAACATTTTCATGCTCTTAAAAAAAAAAGATTTCCTTTTTTAATTTGTATATTATCTAGAAAATCTGCTCTGATATGATTCTCTTCCCCCTATCCCTTATACATGTACCTGCATTCCATTATGCAGGTATAGGGATAGGAAAATTACACCCTTAGGTGTAGAAATTAAGCTCATAATCTCAGAAAGCCCCAGGTTTCACTCCATTTCTACACCATGTATCAAAAGTTATTTATTCCCTTTAACATTATATGATAGATTCTTTTAGACTAAATCTACTTATTCTCACTTGGTAAAGTTCCTATAATGCAAAATAAAATTAACATCTTCATAACATAATGCTGCCTATGACTTAGCATGATTAAAATACTAGTAAAACTTATCAAACATGTCAGGGTAAATAAAAACTAATCGTAAAATGCAACTTCATTCAGTCACAAAGTGTCAAAATAATGTCACTGTGACTTCTGACAAGACTCTGTCTTGAACGTCAAATTTCTCCTAATTACTCCAAATTAGGGAAATCACAACAAAAACAAAAGGTAAAATGTTACTTGATGATCAGCACAGTGGATCCTGGAACTTTCTTGAAAATGAAGTAACACTCTGATGATATTGCTTTAGTTTTACAACATTGCGATAAGGCACATATCACACTCAGGAGAATTTGGTCTGTAAATACGACACACTGGGCCGTTTAACAAGTCAGAAAAATGCTGTTCAACATCTTTAAAATTAACACCCGTATAATGCGTCCACATTGTTTTCTGGTAGTATTTCACCCGTATTTCTCACTGTCAGCTTCAACACACTGTACAATATGTGACTATCGCCCAGCACCAAACACAGCTACAGATACGTTTTAATGCTCCGCATCAAAGATATCATAGGGATTGTACTCCTTAGGGATATCGACATTTTCATCGCTTGATGTTAAGGAGCCGTCCTGCTCCAGTCGATGACGTAGCATTATTTGCTGTTGCCTCTCTGCCGAGATCCCCATCGGCAGGCGTTGCTTTTTACCTGGCGAGGAAATCACAGTGATGTAATTTAAGAGACAAAAATGAAGCCTTGCGATTAATTTGTAATAAAATGATTTCAAACTATATCCAAAGATACCATTTTTGTATCCTTCAAAATAAATCAGTAAAAACCTAAAAATTCTGCGTCACTAAGGTAAAGAATATGAGCTATGTTGTAGATACACAAATAAGACAATGGGTAGGCCTTAATGAGCCTATCAGATAACATATTTTCTCTACGTGGACAAAAATTTTGTGTGGTAATATATTTACAAAATTCTCCATATAAAGGAAACAAACTTTTTATCATACTGATAAGGTATAACTACTTATGAAAACATCTAATAGTTGGTCTACCTCTTACTGAATATAGATCCAGTTCTTTCATAACTTTACTTTTCTATCTCAAGTGTTTTATTACCTGCTGTAAGAATTAATGTTAAAAGCATAAAATCTCATTCATTAGTTTAAATGTGTATTTAATATCTTCAACTCTCTTAATCTCATATAATAGAAATGTTTTTAAAGCAATCTAAGGGAGACAACTGGTAAAATTATAACATAAACAACATGATTTCAGTTTTTTTCTGGAAGGTTAAAGGAGAAGAACATTGTTGTGCTCAATCAAGTGTAAGATATACATCATTAACATATAGCATGTGCAGTGTAATTTTCACCATGTATGTAAGAAGACACATCTAGCTAGAGAACTAGCAGCAATCAATCCAAAGTCATAAAAGCCAACCTTTTATAATAACAAATCCTCTAGTTTGTGCACTTAAAAACAATCTGCCTCGGAATAGAAATATCCACTCAATTGTGGCTAGAAGAATTCTGGAAGAATATTTCAACTCTCTTAAGAATCGCCAATGCCTGCCTGACCTAACTTACTTTTCCTGGCTGGGCCTGGCACATCCTCACCACAGTCCTCCTCCTCCTCCTCAGCAGAAGAGCTGTCCTCATACCGGTCAAAGTCGTACATCAGGTTGGCTGGCTATCAAGGCAAACAATTTAACTGTATTTTCTCTACATGTTACATTAACATCATCCCATTTTATAGACATTTGATTCTGTGAACAAAGCCACGTCTCCCTTTATCAGCCATTACCGGTATTCATATTTCCTTTGAACAGATATCACAATTGACCTAATGGTGAATGTTCTGTATAGTGCACAGCAAATCTTCCGTGGGTGATGCCAGTTTTGTTCAGGTTTCATAAAAAAAGTCCTCAAATGTTAAATTTTACAGCCTTGGTAAGTTTTCAGTTAATATGTTGCACTTATCTGACATTTTTACCTGGAGGTGAAGGTCATCGTACAATGCACTAGTCACTTTCTTAGGCTGACACAGGTATAATTCAGGTTTCATTATAATATCGTTTGCAGCATAATAACTTTTGCAGGAAATCTTTCACTTACATGTATTTTATTTAATGTCATTACGGTCACAGTGACCTAGTTTGAATGCAGTGCGAACCTTCAGTGTGTGATAGAGGTACACTTTTCACAACACCAAAATTTACAACTAACAGTGACTACATTGAATACAAACAACAGGCCCTTGAGGCCAACACATTTTTAAGATCGACCTTAAGTTTGTTACCTTCATTTTTAGTTCATTACCTTGGCCTTAAGTTTGATGAGTCGAGGCCAGCGCCCCTTCTGATTCTTGCGTAGGATGACAGTCACTTCACCAGAGCTAACCTTCACCTGACTACGGGCAGGTAAGATAGAGTCGTACAGGATGTACTCCACCACGTATACCTTACCATCCACCAATGCACTGTCCAAAATAAAACCAGTCATATTTTTAGAGTTCTCAGAACCCTGTATGTCTGAAAAGCAGGATTGAAATTGCGGTTGAAAATAAATCAAACATTGAAACCATGTTTTCTACATGTAAAATGGACTTTAATGGAAAACATGTCAAATATCCAACAAATTATTGATTCAGATGAAGCTTATTTGCAGTAATTAATTAAAATTTTCATCCCAAAAAATACAGTTTAGGTAAATTCTGGGATTCACAAAATCCCAATAGAATAGGAAACCTTGACTTCAATAAAGGAATAATTTATGAATCAATCAATGTACTTTAAATTGACATTTCATACATATTTCAAATTTTACCTAATTGAATTTATCAGTAGGTCTCCACACCTAACAGATAATCCTGAAAATTTTCTGAAAATAATCTGTATTTAGTTTAGTATTGATGGGAATATTGAGAAAAGGAGAAAGTAGCCATGATCATGAGAGGCCACACAAGACTTCCTCAATTATGCTCACTGGCTACTGGAAAGGCTGACTGGCTAACCAGGTGTTTCCCTTGATTGGAACAAATGTTACATCGGCAGAATACTTGGTGCACAATATTTCTGAACAAATTATGCAGACTCAATATATTTCTTTTTTCCAGTAGCCTCATTTTGCAATGCGTTTCTGTTTGAAGCATCTATACAATAAATTTCTTTCCTCATTAATACTAATAACAGTTTCAAATGTATTCTTCAAAATCTTTCACACTACTGTACGTTGTACAGTTGTGGGACCGCACAACGCACCAAAAATAGCGTGCGCACACCGTGCATACATCGTTCACACACCGTCCGCACATCGTCCACATATGGTGCGCACAACTGTGCGATTTAGCAATCGTTCGCCCCGTTGTGCGCTTCTCTCCGCACAACTGTGCGATTTGGTATCATTTGTAGATCAAAATTACGGAATGACAAATATACGGAAGGCTTGTATCCGATAATGTACACTGTGTATATATCTGTAATTTCTCATCACAATAATCAAGATTATACAATTTCACAATGCGTGTTACACAGTATTACAGCGACCGTTAGGCTGTCAAGAATGGGTTTGGCTCCAAGGTAACAGAACAGGTAAATAACAATTTTATGAGTGTCCGGAGTTTTACGTGACCAGTGCCTGACACACAGAGCTGATATGCGATACCGTTTGACCGTAATGAATAGTATTTGTTATTTGCATTCGTTTGCCTATAGCTCCCCTTCACCTGGATTTTCACACCCCCGGCCTTACCCGACGAGTTACGTAAATGCCCCAGGCGGGGAGAAAACTACGGTCCAGGTACATGTACAAAGTGGTTATGTTTACCTGTATACGGGATTGTGTTGTAATTTTACATGTGTCGATTAAGTTTGTTTAAAAACACAGAAAACACAATTCCTAAATATAAGAATATATAGACAGAAAGATAAGTTTATAGATGTTGCTAGAATATAGAAACATACGTAAACATCAAGTTTATATGTTTAAACACGAAACCGTATAAATTGTTAAGGCATTCCTCAATTTACACCAACCACGATTGTTATCGCACAACGTCCGTCTATCGTGCGCACATATGTGCGCAAGCAATGATCGTTCAGCTTTTTATCGTTCGCCCATCGGGCACACACCGTTCACACACCGTGCACACATCGTGCGCACACCGCACATCGTGTAACGTTGTGCGATCCCACAACTGTATATCAGAAATATGTTATAGATGTCTTAACCCTTGAAAGTGAAACGTTGAAATGCTGCTTTAAAGAAAAGGTAAATCAGGAGACAAATAGGTTATTACTTAGCCTAATATACAAAGGTTCCTTTGAAACCAAAGATACATTATTCAAATCAATATAAACAGTAAAGGTTTATTCCTTTAACATTTGATATATTTTACATAAGGTTCACAACCTTGTTCCCTGTTCATAAGTCTATGATGATCACGTAAATTCCTTGCAGTATTACCTGAAACAGATTGAGTTCTCCGTGGTTTGTACAGGATCAGACTTAGGGTTGACGCCCACCACCTTGATACTGAGTCTGACAGTGAAGATGTTCTCAGACCACAACACTTGTGGAAGGATGCTGCAAAGAGAATAAACACATGTAAAACTTACATAATTAATAAGTATTACTGATGGCAGATACCTGCAAGGTTATGTTTTCTCAATTAAAGGGATACGATCCCAAAATCAACATTTTCAAAACATACCTAAAGAGGTATCAAACATAATCCAGCAATAGTTGCTGGTGAGGACCTGATTTCCAATTACTCAACCTTCTAATAGCCAACAGCCAACAGCTTCTCGACTGTATAGCTCCAACACTGCTTTGTACCTACCTGTCCACTTGACTACTTGCTGCTTTGGACTGGTCAATTGGTGTGTTCTTAATGGTCTGTGAGGACTGGACATTGACAATGAGGCTAGACTTCAGGTCCAAGCACATGTCATGGATGACCGAGGACAGGTGAGTCAGGCTCTGTAACCTGTACACAAACATGTATAACATTACTATAGATCAAGGTCACAGGTCAAACACTTCACACACAAGCCGTGTATGACAAGGACTACCACATTATTACAGGCCATGGATTCAGGTCTGAAAGTTCACATACATGCCATGCATGACAGAGGACAGGTGAGATAGGCCTTGTAATATGTACTGCAGGTCAAGGTCACAATTCCAATCATCCATACTTACCTGATGAAAACAGGTAATGGCTACAGCTGCAGCTACAGCTGCAGCCATGACCTCTGAACCCACAATTTAATACATATCTATTACACTGACAACGGCTAATAGCCCCCCCCCCCCCCCTACCTTGTACTTTCTAGTACCCAAAAAGGACAGGCTATAGCTGAACCCCCGACCCCTTACTTGTTCTGTATTTTCTTGTAATCAATGAGGACAGATACTACAAGTATATGTAGTTGTTACAGCTAAACCCCTTGACCTCTCACCCTTACTGTACTTACTTGTTGAGGACAGGTACTAGCTCCAGCTGTAGTAGTTACAGCCTGCCCTCTGACTCTTACTGTACTTACTTGTTGAGGACAGGTACTAGCTCCAGCTGAAGTAGTTACAGCCTGACCTCTGACCCTTACTGTACTTACTTGTTGAGGACAGGTACTAGCTCCAGCTGTAGTAGTTACAGCCTGACCCCCTGACCTCTGACCCTTACTGTACTTATTTGTTGAGGACAGGTACTAGCTCCAGCTGTAGTAATTACAGCCTGACCTCTGAACCTTACTGTACTTACTTGTTGAGGACAGATACTAGCTCCAGCTGTAGTAGTTACAGCCTGACCTCTGACCTTTACTGTACTTATTTGTTGAGGACAGGTACTAGCTCCAGCTGTAGTAGTTACAGCCTGACCTCTGACCTTTACTGTACTTACTTGTTGAGGACAGGTACTAGCTCCAGCTGTAGAAGTTACAGCTAAACCCCCTGACCTCTGACCCTTACTGTACTTACTTGTTGAGGACAGGTACTAGCTCCAGCTGTAGAAGTGTGGTCTTGTTTCTTCTGTTTAGGTTTCCATAGTATTTACAGTACTTTAATCCACACAATATACACTGTAATACAAAGTGAAATTTAATCAAACTGATTACAAGGTTATTAAAAGTTCTTTTCCAAAATAAAACTAGAACATCATTTGCGGACACTGTTTGCTCAACTCCTGCATATCTGAAAGACTCCAATCTGCTCTATACTCCCAAAACCCTTGCATTAATTTCAACAAAATATTTGATTAAATTAAATAAAGTACAAATGGCTCTTGTCAAATAAACAAGAGGCCCATGGGCCTTAAGTCACCTGATGTATTTATACAGAGAGTTGATTTTGTTTTTAACACGAACAGAAATATTATTCAGTGACAAAAAACAACAAGAGGCCCAATGGCCTTAGTGGTCACCTGAGTTATATCCTAGGTACTGGTAGCTTTATTTTATTGTTTAGATGTGATGTGGAAATCAGCATGTAAACTAAGTGAAATACAATACTTGTCATGTCATCAAAGGATAAGAATTTTAAAATATTTGTAAATGTTCCCTTTGGGGCCCCGCTCTAACCCCTGGGGATGGGGCAGGAATTCCAAGTTTACAATGTGATACCGTCATCCACCAAAGATGATTCTGACCAAGTAAAAATAATTTCCAACAGAAAATTGTCAAATTATACCCAAAAGTGTTGTTTCCCTATATAAACTATAGTAAACTTTACCCCCTCCCCAAGGGAGAACAGATAGCTCGGGGGTCCTGAAATTTATAATTTAAATAAAGCCCCTGATGATCTTTCCATCCATGCAGAGATAATGATTGTAGTATAGGACTCTGAGTGTGGGGAAGAAGATTTTTGAAAAATTGGTTAAATTTCCCTTTGAGGCCCCGCCCTGGCCCCTAGGGTTGGGGTAGGAATCCCAATTTTACAATTTAAAACCATCTTCCTTCAAGGATAATTCTCACCAAGTAAGAATAATTTCCAACAGAAACTTGTCAAAATATACCCAAAAGTGTTGTTTCCCTATATAAACTATAGAAAACTTTACCCCCTCCCCAAGGGAGAACAGATAGCTCGGGGGTCCTGAAATTTACAATCTAAATAAAGCCCCTGATGATCTTTCCATCCATGCAGAGAAAATGACTGTAATACCTGGGAAGTCTGTAGAAGATTTTTGAAATATTGTTGGGGTAGGAATTCCAATTTCACAATTTGGTAGCCTCATCTACCAAGGATGATTCTGACCAAGTTTGAAAAAATTCCATCCACTGGTTCTTGAGAAGTTGATAATGTAAAAAGTTTACGCACGACGTACGACGGACGACGACGGACAGAAAGTGATTGGAATAGGTCACTTGAGCAAAGCTCAGGTGACCTAATAAAACCACCTTATTCAATATCTAGCATACAGATTTATGACTAAAAAGTATTTTAAACTAGCACCTCTGATTCTAAACAAGGAAAATGAAGAAATTTTAGCAGACTGACTCCTTTGAGCCCCACCCTACAGCCCTTGGGGGTAGGACTGGCTCAAAATTTTCAAAGTATCGAACTGCCAACTAAGGGTTATAATTCCAATCAAGTTATTAACATGTAATATTCAAAGTATCATTTGCCATTATAAACCATAATAAATTTTGCCCCCCCCCCCTCCTTCCCCAGGGGGTAAATGTGAGACCCTAGGGTCATAAACCTTAAGACCCTTCCATCTATGAAGAGTGTTTGATTCTACCGTATCTGGGTCTTTGAGAAGTTTTTTTTTTAAATTTCAGACAATTCAACCCTTTTTGGCCCCACCCATCAGCCCCTGGGGGTCAGTCAGGGCTCATATGTGCATACCATCAAACTGCTATCCAATACTGATAATGCTAACCCAAATTGAATTACTTCCAATGAAAATTAAACAAATGTTGGTCCAAAATGTGATTTCCCTATATAAACTATAGTAAAGTTTACCCCCTCCCCAGGGGTAAATGTGAGACCCTCGGATCATAAAATTCACAATTTTGGTAGAGCACCTTAAACCCTTCCATCTATGAAGAGTATTTGATTCTACCATATCTGGGTCTTGAGAAGAAGATTTTTGAAATTTCAGTCAATTCGACCCTTTTTGGCCCCTCCCATCAGCCCCGGGGGGTCAGTCAGGGCTCATATGTGCATACCATCAAACTGATACCCAATACTGATAATGCTAACCTAAATTGAATTACCTCTAATGGCAATTAAACAAATGTTGGTCCAAAATGTGATTTCCCTATATAAACTATAGTAAAGTTTACCCCCTCCCCAGGGGGAAACGTGAGACCCCAGGGTCAAGAAATTCACAATTTTGGTAAAGCACCTTTAGACCATCCCATCTATGAAGAGTATTTGATTCTACCATATCTGGGTCTTGAGAAGAAGATTTTTGAAATTTTAGTCAATTTGACCCTTTTTGGCCCCGTCCCTCAGGCCCCTGGGGGCCGGGGCCCAAACCGGCATCTATTTTTGTTGACCTTTGGCCATGGAAGGTTTCTGCATAATTTCATTGAAATTGGTTCAGGGGTTTTGGAGAAGAAGTCGAAAATGTAAATTGTTTACGGACGCCGACGGACAAAAGGCGATCGCAATAGGTCACTTGAGACTTTGTCTCAGGTGACCTAAAAACAAATATGTATTCCCACTAATCTGATTGATTATGAGGATAACATAACATGGGACTCATTACTGTAGAATCATTTATTTTCATGGGGTTAAAATTTTGTGGTTTTCATATACTAGCCTGTTTCAAGGACATTATATTTCGATGATTTCTGATTTCCCCCTATCTATATCATACCAAATTGATGTTTTCGTGGGATTTAATTTTGTGGATTTTGTTATCCATGAAAAAAACGATACTTAATGTCCCTTGAAAATTTATGATTTTACAGTATGTATTTAAAAATATTTGTGTAGCTTTGACCAGGTCCACGCTAAAGCCTGTGTGTGATATGGAATAGAACCATCAATTCATAATACATATTTAAACTTTACATGTTTTGGTCAAAGGTCAAATATACAAAAGGAACATTTACGACTAGATTTAATTCTAAATGTGGGCTACATGGAAACCCCTTCTACCCGTATATGTACAAAGTTTGGAGCCAATTCATGAAATAGTGACTTTAATATGCTGTTTAAAACTGTGTTACACTTATTTCAGTACTTGAGGTGACGATAAAAGGTCAAATTGAAGTCACAGTGACCTTGTTTAAGGATGTGACATATCGCCTTGCCATGATGCACCATTGTGTATAAAAAAAGTTTGATACAAATTCATGAAATAGCAGCTTAGCTATGCTCTGGAAACCAATATAGAGGCAACAGTGACTTCATTTTCAGATGTAGCACACTGCCTTTCCATGATATAGCTAGAAACAGCAGCTAAGATATGCTCCAGAAACCAGTCAGCACAGATGCACACACACATGGACAAAGTGGATAATATATACCCCCAACTTTGTCAAAGACCTTTTGAACTAAATAAAGAATGTGAGTCTCAATGAGATGTCACCAGATTAGGTACCTACCGTCTCATCCTCCGTACCCTTCAGGGTGCCCACCACACACTTAACCACCTTTGGTTTAGTTAGAGAATCCTCATTTTTTCTGGAAAAAAAAGGAAAATAAATTGACTTTAAACTTTTTTCATATCCTTGGAAAAGTATCTTTCTTTCCCAAAAATATCCTGTATAGCAGGTATTGGATTATCATATCCAGGTAAAGGTGTATTTTTACTTAAAACACAATTTAGTATTTATTATGATCTATATAGTTTTTTAAAACACACTAGACAAAGATTAAACATTTAATAGAGAGTGTTATGACATTGTGTTGCCCTGTTTTATATTATATAAATTTACAAAAAGTCACATCATGACATAGAATGCCAAGTTTCTGGTTTTAATCAAGAATAAAATCTCTCCCAAGCAAGACCAGATACGGATTTGGTATACATCCCAATATTAGTTCCACAATTTAATTTTGAGTCGCGATAAATAAAATGAGAAATGTTACCTTCCAACATACGTACATTTTACAGTAACACAAGGGCTCTTGTGTTATATTACTCAAGATGCAATCACTATGCCACATGTAAACTGAATTCGCCAAATATTACTCCACTTGTCTTTGTGTATCCAATGTTTCCTGTTTTTATTTTCATTATTGTTTTGCTGGTTTATTAACTTTTCTGTTCATGCATGTAATTGACATAGTGTCCACAGTTTTGTTATTACTTCTGAAGTCTACTTACTCATCCTTTTCGAGTAGTGTATCCAAGAGCTCCAGGGCTGCTGTGGTAACATCAGGGTCAACCTCTTTTTCTCCTTCTCCAAGACAGTTAACAAGTCTGGAGCAAACTTTGTTGTCAAAGGTCATCAGTAACACCCTAGAAAAGTTCAAAGTTCATCACTTACATGGACATGAATCATTCACAGAAAAACACTGTAAATATAAGGAAAACTTGCAATGTAGAAACAAGAAATAAATGGGCTTGAATTATTCACCTTTTTATTTATATCATGTAAGATTTTGACTGAAAAAAAGAAAACCAACACGGCAAAGTATATTGCAGGGCCATCCACAGTCCCCCACTGGTTAATTGAAAAATTCAAAATTTGGAAAGAAGTTATTTGCATCAACTCTTAGATATTAACTAGTGCTGTTCATATAGAGAGTTATTTATACCACCATAGGTAGAAATGTAGGTTACAATTACCTACTTTCTACAGTACAGTAATATGAATTTTAATATAAACTTACGCCTCAGATAGCCGGCACATCTTCCTCAGGGTGTAACATAAAGCTGTCTGTACCTAGTAATTAGTAAAGATATCCAGTTTCAATCAAAAAAGACCAATAAGACATTATTAACAGAAAAGGAGAAACAAGAGTTAGACAAGAGCACCACAAGGCCAGACAATACATGCCTGTCCAATGCCAAACTTAAAATCCCTCTGATGCATTATTGTTATTTATTTAAATGTATGAAAGCATGAAAATGTTGCATAATGAAACTTCATTGGTATTGTAATATTCCAATGAAATTGAAAACTGGGATGCGTGTGAGACATACTGTACTTGATCAACTTAAGCTGAAGAAAAAAATCAGAATCCAGTTATATATGACTGGGTAATTGTGCGTAAACCATTGACCAATCAGAGCGCAGTATGCTACTTTTAAAAATTATAAAAGTATTTTGCTCAACTTCAAACATTTTTTTGGTTTATATTGAACAATAGGCCCAATGGGCCTGCATCGCTCACCTGGTATTAATCTCACACTTGTAATCTTAGAAGTGGACTAAAATACAGCTACAGGCAGAATATCAGTGTTTGATTCATAAGAACCTATTCAAAGATTTAAACATATTATGCCTGTGACCTTGAATGTCGAACAAGGAAATCAGGTTGAAAGTGGATCAAGGTCATTCATTTGATTAAACTTGGTAGTCCTTCATCCCAGCATGCTACAGGCCCAATATCAGTACCCTGGGCGTTTTGGTTATTGAGAAGAAGGCGTTTGAAGATTTTAAGACATCTGACCCCAGTGACCTTGAAAATTGGTCAATGTCAAACATTTTAACAATCTTGGTAGCCCTTCCTCCAAGCATGCTACACGCCCAATATCAGTACCCTGGGCCTTTTAGTTATTGAGAAGAAGTTGTTTGAAGATTTTAAGACATTTGACCCCTTTGACCTTGAAAGTTGGTCAAGATCATTCATTTTAACAAACTTGGTAGCCCTTCATCTCAGCATGCTACAGGCCCAATATCAGTACTATGGGCCTTTTGGTTATTGAGGAGAACTCGTTTGAAGATTTTAAGACATCTGACCCCAGTGACCTTGAAAAATGGTCAAGGTCATACATTTTAACAAACTTGGTAGCCCTTCATCCCAGCATGCTAGAGGCCCAATATCAGTACCCTGGGCCTTTTGGTTATTGTGAAGAAGTTGTTTGAAGATTTTAAGACATCGGACCCCAGTGACCTTGAGAGTTGGTCAAGGTCATTTATTTGAACAAACTTGGTAGCCCTTCATCCCAGCATGCTACAGGCCCAATATCAGTACCCTGGGCCATTTGGTTATTGAGAAGAAGTTGTTTGAAGATTTTAAAGACATCTGACACCAGTGACCTTGAAAGTGGGTCAAGGTCATTCATTTGAACAAACTTGGTAGCCCTTCATCCCAGCATGCTACAGGCCCAATATCAGTACCCTGGGCCATTTGGTTATTGAGAAGAAGTTGTTTGAAGATTTTAAAGACATCTGACACCAGTGACCTTGAAAGTGGGTCAAGGTCATTCATTTGAACAAACTTGGTAGCCCTTCATCCCAGCATGCTACAGGCCCAATATCAGTACCCTGGGCCATTTGGTTATTGAGAAGAAGTTGTTTGAAGATTTTAAAGACATCTGACACCAGTGACCTTGAAAGTGGGTCAAGGTCATTCATTTGAACAAACTTGGTAGCCCTTCATCCCAGCATGCTACAGGCCCAATATCAGTACCCTGGGCCATTTGGTTATTGAGAAGAAGTTGTTTGAAGATTTTAAAGACATCTGACACCAGTGACCTTGAAAGTGGGTCAAGGTCATTCATTTGAACAAACTTGGTAGCCCTTCATCCCAGCATGCTACAGGCCCAATATCAGTACCCTGGGCCATTTGGTTATTGAGAAGAAGTTGTTTGAAGATTTTAAAGACATCTGACACCAGTGACCTTGAAAGTGGGTCAAGGTCATTCATTTGAACAAACTTGGTAGCCCTTCATCCCAGCATGCTACAGGCCCAATATCAGTACCCTGGGCCATTTGGTTATTGAGAAGAAGTTGTTTGAAGATTTTAAAGACATCTGACACCAGTGACCTTGAAAGTGGGTCAAGGTCATTCATTTGAACAAACTTGGTAGCCCTTCATCCCAGCATGCTACAGGCCCAATATCAGTACCCTGGGCCATTTGGTTATTGAGAAGAAGTTGTTTGAAGATTTTAAAGACATCTGACACCAGTGACCTTGAAAGTGGGTCAAGGTCATTCATTTGAACAAACTTGGTAGCCCTTCATCCCAGCATGCTACAGGCCCAATATCAGTACCCTGGGCCATTTGGTTATTGAGAAGAAGTTGTTTGAAGATTTTAAAGACATCTGACACCAGTGACCTTGAAAGTGGGTCAAGGTCATTCATTTGAACAAACTTGGTAGCCCTTCATCCCAGCATGCTACAGGCCCAATATCAGTACCCTGGGCCATTTGGTTATTGAGAAGAAGTTGTTTGAAGATTTTAAAGACATCTGACACCAGTGACCTTGAAAGTGGGTCAAGGTCATTCATTTGAACAAACTTGGTAGCCCTTCATCCCAGCATGCTACAGGCCCAATATCAGTACCCTGGGCCATTTGGTTATTGAGAAGAAGTTGTTTGAAGATTTTAAAGACATCTGACACCAGTGACCTTGAAAGTGGGTCAAGGTCATTCATTTGAACAAACTTGGTAGCCCTTCATCCCAGCATGCTACAGGCCCAATATCAGTACCCTGGGCCATTTGGTTATTGAGAAGAAGTTGTTTGAAGATTTTAAAGACATCTGACACCAGTGACCTTGAAAGTGGGTCAAGGTCATTCATTTGAACAAACTTGGTAGCCCTTCATCCCAGCATGCTACAGGCCCAATATCAGTACCCTGGGCCATTTGGTTATTGAGAAGAAGTTGTTTGAAGATTTTAAAGACATCTGACACCAGTGACCTTGAAAGTGGGTCAAGGTCATTCATTTGAACAAACTTGGTAGCCCTTCATCCCAGCATGCTACAGGCCCAATATCAGTACCCTGGGCCATTTGGTTATTGAGAAGAAGTTGTTTGAAGATTTTAACATATTTGACCCCTGTGACCTTGAAAGTGGGTCAAGGTCATTTATTTGAACAAACTTGGTAGCCCTTGATCCCAGCATGCTACTGGCCAAATATCATCTTCCTAGGCCTTTTGGTTATTGAGAAGTTGTTTAAAGCAAAAAGTTGACGACGGACAGACGGACGACAGACGACGGACGGACAGACGGATGGACGGACGACGGATGCCGCACCATAACATAAGCTCACTTGCCCTTCGGGCAGGTGAGCTAAAAATCGAACAATATTTAAGCAAGTTATCTTGTGGAAACTAAAGTGTGAATGCTACCCTATCAGAGCTCAGTATACTAGTTGTGATTATTTTTCTCAACTTAGAACTTAGCCTTTGTCTTTGTATATTAGCCCTTGCCTTTTTATATTTTACATGCTTACAAGGTTTCATCAAAATCGAACAATATTAAATATTTAAGCAAGTTGTTTTCCAGAAACCAAAGAGATTTCCTATTACATACATTCGGCTATTCTTGTCTGGATACATACCTTGGACTTGTCTGTGGAGTCTAACAGCTCACACAGTGTCAGTACAACTCTCTCATCTTCAAAACAGGGCATAAACCTACAAAAGGATAAAAGGATAAAGCTCATACCAGCTTACAACGTCATAAAACACACATGGACAAACAAAGTATTACCATTCAAACAAAGTCATACATGAACATACACAGTATAATATTTTTATACTATGTTTTGTGATATGGACTTAGAGGCTTTCAGCCTGCGTCCATTATTTTTCAATTAAATTAAATTCAATTCAATTAAAAGTATTACCATTCAAACAAAGTCATACATGAACATACACAGTATAATATTTTTATACTATTTTTTGTGATATGGACTTAGAGGCTTTCGGCCTGCGTCCATTATTTTTCAATTAAATTAAATTCAATTCAATTAAAAGTATTCCCATTCAAACAAAGTCATACATGAACATACAAAGTATTACCATTCAAACAAAGACATACATGAACATACACAGTATTACAATTCAAACAAAGACATACATGAACACACACAGTATTACCATTCAAAGAAAGACATACATGAACACACAAAGTATTACCATTCAAACAAAGTCATATATGAACACACAAAGTATTACCATTCAAACAAAGTCATATATGAACACACAAAGTATTACCATTCAAACAAAGTCATACATGAACATACACACTATTACCATTCAAACAAAGACATACATGAACATACACAGTATTACAATTCAAACAAAGACATACATGAACATACACAGTATTACCATCCAAACAAAGACATACATGAACACACACAGTATTACCATTCAAAGAAAGACATACATGAACACACAAAGTATTACCATTCAAACAAAGTCATACATGAACATACAAAGTATTACCAATCAAACAAAGTCATACATGAACATACAAAGTATTACCAATCAAACAAAGTCATACATGAACATACAAAGTATTACCATTCAAACAAAGACATACATGAACACACACAGTATTACCATTCAAACAAAGACATACATGAACATACAAAGTATTACCATTCAAACAAAGACATACATGAACACACAAAGTTTTATCATTCAAACAATGTCATACATGAACATACACAGTATTATCATTCAAACAAAAACATACATCATACCTGCCAAGTGACCCGATTTCGTCAGGTTACACCCAGGATTTTAGTCCTTCACCCGCTTTTATAACTTCACCCGCCAGGTTACGATTTTGATCCGGATTTCATCAATTTCACCCGTTTTCACCCGGAATCTTTTCGTATATTAGAAGTTACCGAAGTCACTCGGAATTCTCTAGACATTTCCATCCTTCTTCACAAGAAGGACGATCTATTTCCTGTTTCCGTTTCTCACCAACAGGTAAGTTGTGAGTTGTTTATATACGTACTAGAACTGTTTTTACAAATGTTTATATAAAGAACATTGTTACTGAACTTGCCGACAAGTTATTAGTCAGGTTTTTAACGAATAATTGAGTTGTATTTACATAGAATAGATCGTATTTTGAAGGTAACGTTATGTCTTCTTGAAGGAAGAAGTTTTTATCGGGACTTGCAGGTTCTACCACACGAATTGCTAAAAGAAAAGATAATTGTACACATATTCAAATGTCGTAGGAAAATGAGTTATAGTGTACAAAGTCCCGTGGTCGTGGACCAAACGCTGCATTCTGCACTCTAGTCAAAAACACGCACAGGCATTTGATGATTTGTTTCTGTCAATCAAAATGATCCTTACAATAAGAGTTCAAACCCTACTCGTATAAAACTGATATTTTATATGAGAAGGGTACAACTTCTTGTTGTCAGTACCATTTTCATTGACAGAAACAAAATGGTATTTTATATGAACAGAATGTGACATCTTATTGTCGGAACCATTTCAATTGACATAAAAAATGCCTGTGAAAACACAGTATCATATATATTATTAGGAATTAATTTTATAAGTTGTGTTGTTGACAAATCTTTTTATTTTTCAGCTTTGAATTTGGTATTGTGGATGAGGATCAGCTAGATCTGCTGGAAGAACAGTTCAATTAATGTAGAATGTAACTTTTACATCATTAAAATATTTAAGTTATAATTTTATATCTATTTTTCTTATATTTGTTGCGAAAAAAGCCGTCGCGCACTATGACCCTCTTTTTAATTTTCAAAAGAGGGTCATAACCCTCTTTCAGTATGTCCAGGGTTGGCAGGTATGATACATGAACATGCACAGTATTACCATTCAAACAAAGTCATACATGAATATACAAAGTATTACCAATTCCAATTCATATATGAACATTTAAAGCAGCAACACATGACTTAAACAGTTAATACCATAACCTACAAACTCATACACAGCTTATATATCAGCATGAAAGAATCAGTCTAACCTGATACTGGTATCCAGCAACTTCCCCATGGCAACTAGAACCTGTTCTTGTAACCATGGCTTATTGGTCTGCAACATACAATGATAGTATCTTATAAGATGGGACTGAATTATAGAAGTCCTTGTACCCGTAACACACCTTTTAGGCTAAACGTCAACATACAATGGTAGTATCTTAAAAGATGGGAATGAATTATAGAAGTCCTTGTACCCGTAACACACCTTTTAGGCTAAAAGTCAAAATGGAGTTCTTTGAAACAACAGGATTTTTAACATGTGCCTTCTAATACCAGGGATCAAAGACAAAGATCAAGGCCTTACGGACAACTTGGAGTAGATCAAATTATATCCAACCTAACTAAACAATTATACATCTGAAAAATACTTTTATTATCAAATTATAGCTACAATATAACCTTTGACCTACAAAATGTATTTATCTGAAGCTAAGTATGAACTTTTGGGATTGATTGGCCTTGGGTAACAGCAGCCATTTTGTGGAAAATAAAGCCTAATATCTAACAGAACAGAGAGGCAAGTATCCTTACAAACCTAATTTTGAAGAAAGTGTGAAGAACAGCGATTGAGGTTCCATCACGTAACTAAGAGTTCATAGGGCCGTCACAATACACCTCGAGTGTATCACAATATATTACAATGCAGAGGGAATGTATTGCAGTATGTAACCCGATATTGTCAAAGGAAAAAAGTGCTCAATTTAGACAGAAATCATTGTCTGAATGATATCAAACTGAACCCTATATCATATGATCACAAATATTTAAGATTTGATGTTATATCTACCACCCATTATCTCAACTGACTCCTACCACTAGAAAAAAACTTTCTACGGTTATTGGCATATCTATTAGCAGATATACATAAAATTAGCTTTTGAAAAAAATATTACAATACATTGATTGTATTGCGATACAATATGATATGCCTGTGTATTGTGATATAATGGATTCTGATATATTGTGACAGCCCTAAGAGTTCACATAACAAACACTGTTAAATACAACACAAACCCGTTCTAAACTGTTCACTATGCCAACACATCCATCTTGTTCTACTATTTCTTCACATATTCTGAAAGAGAAAGAAGTATTCAACATAGCAGCACAAATGTAAATGTATACAGATTTCAGAAAGAGACATAACTCGCATAAAAAACCGCCAGATCAAAATAATAATTGCAAGAGTCCTCTGAAATTAAGCTGAAATCTTTATGAGTTGTGTGGACAAGATTGTGTCTACAGACAGACAACCTGATTCTGGTATACCCCTCCTAACATTGCTGTGGGGGGTATAATTAGGGTCGAAAGGAAATTCATGCATGTGTTAAATATATCACTCTGATGTTTGTTGCATTTTCCTGATTGAAATGCCCGTACGACTTTCTGCTTCGATTAGCTCGAGATTAAGAGAGGTATGATGAATTTCCTTTGTGGGCCTAGTGTCAATAGATTTCAGTTTTTATGCTATAACTTTGATAAAGGAGTACATGTTCTTCATCTTGATTACATGGAAATCCTATAACAAACAACATTGCATACATTGCAGGCATGTGTAGCATAGTCTTCTGTCATCCTTACACTCGCAGACAAGGAGGAGTACCTTACGACTGGGGTGCTAAAAAAAATCAAAAAGACACCGTGGCTTTAACTTTGTCTACAGACAAGTGATAGAAGGTACAATACTTGCCTGTCATGCTTGGATGCTGCAGTGGTGAGACTGTCCAGCAGGCACCGATGGATGTCCTCATACCCCACTCGGCCTATCAGCTTGATGATAGCCTTCAGACCCCCATAGGCCACCAGGTTGAGGGGCTTACTGAGGTAGACAAACAACCATTAATATATAGTACCAGGTAGATACATTGTCCCCGAAAGTCCAGAATGATGATGAACTAAATACAGTGCCAAAATCAGAGCTGCATGGCTGCAAAAAGCCATCATGAATTTCAGGTTTGGTTCATAACTGAACTTAAGTAACTTAACTGAACTTTGTTGTAAGTTTTGTGCAAATATTTTTTTCCTTGAAGGGTCCCTGTCCCACCGCAGACAAAAGACCAGAGATTCCACTGTGGTTTGTTTTGTATATAACAACTCCTCTTAATATTGTTCTGGATATAACTGTAGTACAATTGCGCTAAAGTACTTCCACTGACCAGGTAACTCAGTTGAAACCAAGGGTTCAAATCCTGGTCAGGGCACACTGAATTTTTACACTTTGTTAACTATACCTGTATATTGGTGACTTTATCTTTAATATTTTTTCATTAGAGCCCTGCAAGGTATAGTTTTCTTTTCAGAAATGATTTATCAAAGCTATAATCAAGCCAGAAAAACAGCTTTCAATTCGTAGTTACAGTACTGGTCTGTGAACCCTACCTTTTAGCACATGTTGTGACCATTTTGAGGATCTCTTTGCCCGCTGCCTCAGCTTTGCAATCTCCCTGAAGCCATGCAGACAAAATGGGTTACGTACTTCCCTGATAATAACCTAAGCATTTGTTTTTGTTCAAGTGATACTTTTCAGACAGATCTTTTCCATGGTTATTATGGTAAAATTAAATAATGCTTCATCTCAAAATATAATCATTGTCTGGTCATGATAAAATAAATGTCCCCTGCAACAACACATCATCTAATTGTAACATAATAAACCTTCCCTACTATGACGTATATATTATCTTGTCATGGATACAATAAACATCCCAGTGTCACATCCTCTAGTCATTATACAATATTACCTTGCCCCAATAGATCTGGCTGCACAGGTCTAGCAGCTTCAGGATGGGAATAGTGAAGAATTGTTTTTCTTGAGGTGGTGAAAACAGTTCCTGTAATTACAAAAGGAAAATCAAAGGGAAAATGAGATCAATCGTCCGTAAGTGGGTTTTCAGTGAAGCTCTGTGTACCCCAATTTATGGATTCCTAAATGGAATTCACTAGTCAGGCCATAAGAGTTATCAAAATTCAAAAGACGAGAAGACCAGACAACATCAAATGGGGAGTCTCGGAAAACTGGATTAAGTTTGCTGAGACTCCTCATTTGATGTGGTCTGGTCATCTCCTCTTTTGAATTACAAAAGGGACAGTTTATTGTCTATATTAATACTGACATGACAAATGGCCAAATTCAAGAAGGACATCAAAACTCATCTCTTCACGTCTGCATTTTAGACAATTTGCACAGACGTCATGTAAATACCACCCTTTATTTATTTATTTATTCATCACATTGCGATGATTATCTTCTTGCTTAATGTATAATGGTGATGGTAAGCCATTTTTGTTTCACAATTATAACTTATACTATTTTCCATCCGATGTAAAGCGTTTTAGAGTAATTTTGCAAATTATATAGGGCGCAAACAAAAGAATTTTCTCAAATTTTATTGAAACTTCAAAACACAGACATGCAGACCTTTACATGGTAGGGAGAATCTTCAGTGGGAGTAGCATATCCCGACCACACCAGCTCCAGAGCCAGGTTCACATCAAAGTAGGTAGATCTATCATACAGCTCAACATAGTACTTGTGGTTACCAGCATTCATTGCATACTGCTTAGTCACCACCTACAAAACACACGACAGAGTACGCTTTTATTGTCACAGACATCAAGTCCTTCTATTACAGTGAGAGTGTACCTAACAGGCGGTGCCTAACTAAAGCTTATATTTAATAAAGTGCACAAGTGATGATTGAATCTCCTTCTGCGAGAGGACAATTAATGTACGAAAACTGACCCCAGGGACCCAAACCTGGCAGTGTTTTCAAAAGAAGTGTACGGAAGCAAAATAAACGAAAACAAACCAAAACTAGAATTATGTCAGTGTGACATTACAGCCGCTCACCACTTTAAATTTAATAGCTTCAGTGACACGTTGAGCATAAAAATCTACTATAATACCTCAGATATGTGTTCTGTATTCTGCTAATTGAAAATCAGGTCATCTGATGATGTTGCGTTTAGGATTTTCAAAATCAATCACCTCTTAAATGATGCCTTAAAAACATTTCTCCCTCTCCTCTTTTTTCACCCTCTTTAAGTGTGACGCATTGTTGTAATTTTCATTAATTAGCATCCTCCAATGATGTGACATGAGCGTTTACGTGCAGAATGGCAATCGGTGAATGGATAATAAAGAATAGGTGCATTTTTTGCTTGTGAAATGAAGGATAATTAACAGTAGTGGGAAAACATGCATGGAGAAAAGAGACATTGTACTCCTTTTATTTTTATTTATTTTTTATTCATATTAGTGAAAATTATTAATATTTGTAGCGACTATATTTACCGTCATTGAATATACAAAATCTCACAAATGTTCTTGGAATATATTTGAATTATATTTCCCAATGCGACTTTACCAACGTAAGAGTTATTTCCCTTACACCCAATTGGATACTATTTTGACACGGCGCGAATTCTTGTCAAACAGCAGCGGCAGTTGTGTCATGTTCTTAAATTGTTACACTTTCATTAAAAATACACCAGAAATAGCATGCTGTGTTACAAAAATGTTTGATAAGCATACACAGTTCACATATCGTCTCGTCTCGGAGGAATTAGTCTACCGTTATCAACCTAAGCACGATATGGCATATATACGTTACCGTTTCAAACATCAAAATAGAGTTTATACTTCATCACTCATACGGTTTATAAGTTTATATATTTACTTCTTCCTTCTACAGACAGCGTCAACGCTTGACAGTCTTCACATGTGCTTTCTCAAATCATATGTGTTTCACATGCGTAACACTCCCCAGACCGCAATCCGAGTTGCTAAAACGCTCAAACCTAGTGCAAGAATTTCACCACCACAACACTCGTAGAATGCACCGGAGATAAACATTTTGTTTTCAGCAATTATTTAAAGTATGGATTATTATTTGGAGAAGAGTATCAGAAGATTTAATGTAACCCACAGGTGAGTGTCAGAGATTCTACTTTCTATTTACGAAAACGAAACTATATAGTGGAAGCATGCAATACTGAATTATGCGCACGCACCCCGAACGGAAGTGGGTCCGACATTTCTTTCTCTGAACAGAATTAATAAGCCGCTCGGCTCTCGCCAAGAGCGGCTTAAAAATAAATAAAGTGCACTAGGGTCACTAACTAAGGACTTGCAGTACAATATCTTAACACTTAGGTAAATCTGATGTACACTAGATACCCTGTCATACTGGCCAAGTGGAGTGCACGTTAGCTATAACTTCCAATCCCTTCATCAGAAAGTAACCAACATTCTCTCTTGAAGAGCTTAACCTTAACTATGAGAACTTAAATCTGCCCATCACAAAGTGAGCAACAACCTCAATGAAAGTGTCTTTGCTTTGAAAATTTTAACCCCCCCATCCAACCTAAACTTCTTCATAATTCATGGTAATTTCTGGCAGAACTCTACCTTACTGTAGAGAACTTGTTTGCCCCACTCACTAAATTACGAAGGTCCCTTCTGGCAGAACTCTACCTTACTTGACAGAACTTGTACTGCCCCACTTACTATATGACAAAGGCCCCTTCTGGCAGAACTCTACCTTACTGTAGAGAACTTGTTTGCCCCATTTACTATATGACAAAGGTCCCTTCTGGCAGAACTCTACCTTACTTGAGAGAACTTGTACAACCCCACTCACTAAATGACTAAGGTCCCTTCTGGCAGAACTCTACCTTACTTGAGAGAACTTGTACCGCCCCACTCACTAAATGACAAAGGTCCCTTCTGCCAGAACTCTACCTTACTTGAGAGAACTTGTACCGCCCCACTCACTAAATGACAAAAGTCCCTTCTGGCAGAACTCTACCTTACTTGAGAGAACTTGTACCACCCCACTCACTAAATGACTAAGGTCCCTTCTGGCAGAACTCTACCTTACTTGAGAGAACTTGTACAACCCCACTCACTAAATGACTAAGGTCCCTTCTGGCAAAACTCTACCTTACTTGAGAGAACTTGTACCGCCCCACTCACTAAATGACAAAGGTCCCTTCTGGCAGAACTCTACCTTACTTGACAGAACTTGTACTGCCCCACTTACTATATGACAAAGGTCCCTTCTGCCAGAACTCTACCTTACTTGAGAGAACTTGTACCGCCCCACTTACTATATGACAAAGGTCCCTTCTGGCAAAACTCTACCTTACTTGAGAGAACTTGTACTGCCCCACTTACTAAATGACAAAGGTCCCTTCTGGCAGAACTCTACCTTACTTGAGAGAACTTGTTTGCCCCACTTACTATATGACAAAGGTCCCTTCTGGCACTGATTTACCTTAGCAGCGAGGACCTTCATGTCATTGGTCACGAAGTGAGCAAGGTCCCAGATAAGGTCCCCAGCAGCTTCTTCCCACGTCTCACCTACAACAGTTAATGGTGACAGTAAAAGTATGGTCTATATGCAAGCATTTTGACTATTTAAATACTTTTTCAGGAAACTTGAATCTTTTTATGGTCAAATTCAGTTCTTTTGTTTAATTGCATCGCTCATCGATTGTTAACATTTGACTGAATTCTGCTACAAGATGTTTAACTGTAAGCTTGAGACTGTAACTGCTACCTGTATATACTGCTCTTTACTCATGCAGTGTGATTTTCACATTTTTGTCAGGAAATTAATATCTGTGCAATTGTATTGATTGATGTATATGCTAATTGTATTGTTTGTAAAAATTGTTTATCTATGTACTGTAAAGCGCTTTAGAGTGGCTTATTCTAGCTAGATAGGACGCTATATCAAATGTTGTATATCATTATCATTATCTAAAGTTTTTACCGTAAACGACTTTAGAAATTATCATCATTTAGAAACTTACTATTCAAGCTATCCCTAATTACACTACATACCCTGTGGTGCAACATAGGACAGTCCTGCCTCTATGGCCTGAAAGGGCAGTTCCAGGAATTCCTGTGGGATCTTTTGAAGGCTATCCCTTGACACTGTCTCTGAATCCCCGAAGTCAACATGGAATACTTCCACCATGTTGTCCTCCAACTCTTCCAATATACGCACCCTGTACCACCTTTAAATAATAAACACACATAAATGAAGCTTGTGCCCTTCAACTGACAAGTTCGCTTTTATTACATACCTGCAATTTTTCTTTATATGCATTTTATATTTTCTGCAAAATTTATTCATCATTACCTGGCTTTAATATTTAATTTCCTTTCCAAAATCTGGAACCAAAATCAACCAGACAGAGAGAGTTCAGCTCCTTGGGTTGTATAACATCTTATATTATCATAGTGTGAAATGAAGGACCTTGTATTGCATGGCCTGAAAAACTGGCTCTATCACTAGAGTAAGATTCACCAGGTTTGTAATAAATACACTGTAAATATACTTACTTATTCATCTCTCAATCAAATCTAACATTAGTCACACCTATCCTGAGAATTATTAACATATACACACTGATGTGTCTTCAAAGACCTAATCTAAATTATTGCCATGACTCCAACGCCTATGTAGAGGAAACTTACATATCGTCCCACTTGCCCAGACACACAGATCCTGTCTTCAGACTGATGATCTTCATCCCTGTCAGCTCTTCATTCTTCATTCTCTCATTGATCTCATCGTTCATCTTCTCCAACCTAAATAGAAACATAAATATTGCTCTGAGCTCATACTACAGACAAAGACACACGAGTATGAAATAGACCTGAAAAGATTACAGAAGATTAAGAAGCTAACACATATACAACTACAGTATAAGATTAATTATTCACAGTCCTTATGATTATGACTTTGGGTTTATTTCTTCTGATTCAAGTTGTTCTTAGAAGTAAAACAAAACTTTCCTTCAAACATTAAATATATTTTGCAGAATCATGACCTTAATAAGATCATGAAGTATCTCGAACTCAAATGATTTTTTAAAAATCTATTGTAACAAAATACAACATTTTTTAACACACTAGAAAAACGGTCTCACATTTTCAGATTTAAAACAAATCCTCAGCTTTTTTATTATTTACTGTTAAAAGAATGAAGATATGAAGACATTGACCTCCCACCTTGTCATATATATCCCAGATACACAACATTTTGAATCTACCACTCACAATTTGAAGGTGTCACTCCTCTGGAGATATATTAGGGTTGGAGAATTGACTGCAGATAGGTGGACATCGTGGTATTCCTTAGACTCGGGTAAAATTTCCACCTCATTCTTCTTCTCTGACCTGAAGATACATATTTTAGATATGTTTTAATACATTAATCAAATTTAAATAGGAAACCTCTGTAAGTCATGAATGCCCTGTAGTAATAGTTAACCTATAAATAGATCAGGCATTGACCTTGGGACCCTGAACTATGAAATGATCGGAGGTTATCTCATACTTCACCTTTGAATAAACTTTGATGAAAATCAATTAAGAATACTTTACCTTTGCCAAACTGTTATTTCTGCTTAGTTAACGTCAGTGTTTCCTCATTATACTAGATCAAATTTGGTTTGGAAATTATAAATTTGGACATCATTACACTTCAATTGCTTAGAACATAAGGAATTAGTGACCACATCAGTCAATGACAGCATGTTCTTTCAAAACTTTGTAAATGGCTTACTGAAATGCTTTTGAATCTTCGCTGATAAATTACATATGATTGTAAACCAATATCCTGATATTATTTTATATCACATGTATATTTCTTTTTATCTTTTGACCTTACAACTTTACGGGAGATATGAATAGTGTGTGGTTAGAGACGATCTTGCATGTAACACATATTGGTGTAGAAATGATCAAAGTTACTTGAATTCTAATTTCATACATGTCATAAATACATGTCTGATGGAGTAAAGGGACCTCCTATCTGCCACTAACACCTCTCTGACTGCAGGTAGAGTTTGGGGACCTCTATTAAATCCTGACAATGGTTGACTTACCTGTCTGACTGAAGGTTGAGTTTTGGGAACTCTATTTGGTCCTGACAATGGTGGGCTTACCTGTCTGACTGAAGGTTGAGTTTGGGGACTTCTATTTAATCCTGACAATGGTGGACTTACCTGTCTGATTGAAGGTTGAGTTTGGGGACCTCTATTTAATCCTGACAATGGTTGACTCACCTGTCTGACTGAAGGTTGAGTTTGGGGACCTTTATTTAATCCTGACAATGGTGGACTTATCTGTCTGACTGAAGGTTGAGTTTGGGGACCTCTATTTAATCCTGACAATGGTTGACTTACCTGTCTGATTGAAGGTTGAGTTTGGGGACCTCTATTTAATCTTGACAATGGTTGACTTACCTGTCTGACTGAAGGTTGAGTTTGGGGACCTCTATTTAATCCTGACAATGGGTGACTTACCTGTCTGACTGAAGGTTGAGTTTGGGGACCTCTATTTTGCCCTTGCAAAGGTCATACAAGAGCTGCATGTGCTGGAACATACAATACCAACAGCATGTAGCAATGAATATGATAATAGGCCACGCTTTTTATTTAGCACTTCATTTTTATTACAATCATTTATGAACATTTTCCTGAAATAATTTTTTAAATTTAACATTTAACAAAATATTTAAATATTCAATTTTTACATTTTGATATTATTTTCAGATTTTAATATTGTAACAATATGAAGAATTTCTTTTCAATTTATTTACTTCAAACCAATTTTTTTTTTTAAAGGCAATATTCAATTGCAACAAGCTCAGGATAGTTTTTTTTTTTATTGTATGTCTACCGGTTACGCCCGAACATGTGGGCTTCTTCAGGAGTACGGCGTTGGCTCTACACCCCCATGATTTATTTATTTTTATTACATTTTTAAAATATTCTTTCTTTACTTCAGCTAACATTTAAAAAAATGTAATATCTTTCATGCATGCCTGTGTGACTTACATTGGAATTGTTGACGGCAAAGCCATTTTTGAGGAGCTCTGAACGTACAAACAGGTTGGTGCAGTATGCGTGGAGGTCACTGAGATACACCCTTTCCACCAGAGGGTCTAGCCACAGAGTATTACCAATCCTTGGGAAATAAAACATTGAAAAAGTTTATTACTAACCCTTCAGAGACAAAATAGAAGCACATGTCATTATAACAATCCTTACTTCTATAAGTGTTGCAACAGCTACGAAAATAGAGTATAACCTATACCACCATCACATAATGTTCACACAAAAATCCTTATTTAAAATAACTGAGATGGCGGAGATATGCCACAGAAACCTGTATTGTGCTGTATTTTAGTGATTGAGGTCAAGGTCAAAGGCAAAATTGAGGTCACAGTGATCTCATTTTGGGGTGTGACACACTGCTGTCCTGTGATGACATATATATACAGAGTAAAATGCCCATTAATTGATCAGCGGCTGAGATGTTTTAGCAACCAATATTTTAGTACTGGAGGTCAAGGTCAAGGTCAAATTAAAGGTCAAACTGAAGTCCCAGTAACCTCACTTTTGGATACAACACAGCCTTCCCATGATGGACCACTATACAAAGTTTGATACCAATACATTAAACAGAGGCTGAGATGTGATCTAGTTACCACATTCAGCATGGGTGGATAGATGCACGGACAATGGAGGAAGCAAAAGCTAAAAACCTGCAACTTCAGTCAAAGTGGTTAAAAATACTTCAAAATTTAATTTATCTTACCAATAACCTTACGAAGTTTGATATAATAGGATTCTGGAATGTATGAGAGCTTCCTTATTCTGATGTTCTTTGTTACAAACAAAATGTTGCCAATAATGATTCGTACCACAAATTCAGTTTAGTATTTGATACATCACTCTATCAAAGGTTACCTGAGGACTATTCTTCCGTCCATGGTCTTCTTGTCCAGTAGATCATACACAAACATACTTGCCTGTGTGAAATAGTACAGCATATCAGATGTGAACTTAATGCAAACATTTGTTTTACAATGTATGCAAGTTATTTTAACTTTGATGTTCAATGATACTGTGTAACAGAAAAGTTTGCCCAATTTTTTAACTTTCACCATTTTTGCCCTCCAAAATAAGACAAATTTATCAAGACAGTGAAACACTTGTTTAACAATAAATGTAGATTATTATAACTTTGATGTTTAATGATACGGTGTAATAATGTAGATTATTATAACTTGGATAATCAATGATACAGTGTAAATGGAAATGTTTGTCGCAGTTTAACCTCCATCTCTTTCACCTGCTATAATGAAGGCAAATTTATCATGACATTGAATATCAGTACATAGCATACCACGTGCACACACAATAATAATTCAAGGTGATGAGAAAAATTAACACTGTGGCAATGTGGAATATTCAGGTGAGGCGCAAACGTTTAACTGGGTGAAAATGTCAAGTTTAAAGTACATTTACTCCAAATCTGTCAGCTCAGCAGACATTCCTCTTAACATTCGTCTTACATATCAGAACACAGCAAACATACATCACAAAGATCAGCATAACAACATATTATTACACACATTATACTAATTCCTCATCATACATAACCATCAAAAATACACAGCAGACATGGAGTACCTAGCTATCCCCTTCTCATCAAGTCATGTACATTATAGAATTTTCATCTGTCAAGTAAGTGCACATATTGACATTAATAATGACCTGGCATTATATATAATAGTAGGCATAAATTTTCATTTAGATTCTATTATCCGACCTTGCTTGTCCATTTTTCATCCAGGTCGACCGGCTGTACTCGGCAGATGAACACCTCCAATGCCTGAAAAAACCATCAATTCTATGCACTAGTAACCTTTCATTTTGATAACTTAAAATTATGACAGGTAGTCTAACTTTATATGCAAGGTTGACAACTTTTTAACTTAAGACATTTAGTCGGAATACCTTTCCATTCATACAGGACCTGGTAGGGAACATCCCTGAGATAAGGTGACACTACATTTGTATGAGATAAGGAGACACTACATTTGTATTACTGACCTGGTAGGGAACCTCCCTGAGATAAGGTGACACTACATTTGTATTACTGACCTCGTAGGGAACATCCCTGAGATAAGGTGACACTACATTTGCATTACTGACCTGGTAGGGAACATCCCTGAGATAAGGCGACACTACATTTGTATTACTGACCTGGTAGGGAACATCCCTGAGGTAAGGAGCCACTACATTTGTATTACTGACCTGGTAGGGAACCTCCCTGAGATAAGGTGACACTACATTTGTATTACTGACCTGGTAGGGAACCTCCCTGAGATAAGGTGACACTACATTTGTATTACTGACCTGGTAGGGAACCTCCCTGAGATAAGGTGACACTACATTTGTATTACTGACCTGGTAGGGAACATCCCTGAGGTAAGGATACACTTCATTTGTATTACTGACCTGGTAGGGAACATCCCTGAGATAATGTGACACTACATTTGTATTACTGACCTGGTAGGGAACATCCCTGAGGTAAGGAGACACTACATTTGTATTACTGACCTGGTAGGGAACATCCCTGAGATAAAGGGACACTACATTTGTATTACTGACCTGGTAGGGAACATCCCTGAGATAATGTGACACTACATTTGTATTACTGACCTGGTAGGGAACCTCCCTGAGATAAGGTGACACTACATTTGTATTACTGACCTGGTAGGGAACATCCCTGAGATAATGTGACACTACATTTGTATTACTGACCTGGTAGGGAACATCCCTGAGATGTGGAGGTAGATTGTATAGTTTATTTGGTGAAACAAAACTCTTTCTGCCATCATCAACAAACATCAGCTGAAAATGAATAGAATACATATATCTAAATCAAGTCATTCTTTCTACTTTCACAGTTAGATATGATATATCTATCATTTTTAGTGTCACTGTATGACAAAATAAATCTGTATTGAGTCACATTTTTCTTAATCTATCTGATATTGTGGGAATATGAATGTGGGATATGAATATTCTACACTCAGATGTACAATTTGGTGTCCAAACTTCAGCACAGCCTCGGTTTCGAACCAATTCAAATTCAACACTTTCAGGTAGAATTTCCCTATCCCAGATACCTACATATACCGGTATTCTACATATAATAAACTATATTATTTTTGAAAACAGTAAAATTTAACACTCACCTCTGCCTTGATCCGATCTCCTGGTGAGTTCACACCTGTGATATCACAAACCTTCACCCTATGAAAAATATTTAAACACAAATGTAAAATTGATTGTTATCAGGACGTGCAGGAATAGATGATAAATGATTTACATTTCTAACCTAATGAGACTGCATGGCTGCAGCCTCCATATTCTGACAAATGTCTAGTCTCATATATGTATCTATCAGTGCCTCAAGGCAGCAAAAATCATGTATACTGACAGTTAAGAATACAATAACGGAATATGACATGAACACTTTTAATAGAAACAGTTCATATAAATTTTGTACTTTAGAAAGAAAACAATTGTCAATAAATTTCATGGAATTGTATTGTTTATCTTATGGCAACTAAACACTTTGTTAATATTCAAAAGTAGATGGTGCAGTATAACTGGCCAAATATGACCAAAACAGTCAATAAGGTGTTCAAAAATACAAAAGCAACTTACAGTGTGAGTTTTAGTCAAGAGGAAAACATGGGAAAATAGTACAAATATACCTAGATAAATAAGTCAAGAGGAATACATGGGAAAATAGTATGTACAAACATACCTGGATAAATAAAGACAATTTATTTTATAAATATAATATTATTAAAAAAAAATTGTGTATACATATATGTTTACAAACCTGTGGTATGTTTCCTCGTCCTCTGACACAGCACACATCTCTCCAATACATAAGCTGCCTACAAGTGAAAAACAACAATTTATACCTCTAATACCAATGTAAGGTAGAAACTAAGCTAAAAGCAATATTTCAATGTAGAAACATGCTTACTAAAAACAGTCACCACTGAATTCATGCTTACAAATAAATTATATTTGTGTTTCTAGCAGGAATTGATCCAAAAAGATATAATCTTAAAAGCAAGTTATGCTGATAGCAAACTAGTTTCTTACGTTTCCTGGTCGTTTTTTATTTATTTAACTGTACCCAACAAATACATCCACAAATTTTCAAGTTATATCTCTGACTACAAATCAGTTTCACATCAAACTGAACAGAAATGTTTTCTGTTATAAGAATCAATGAAGTTCTGGGATCTCAAAAGCTACGTATGTTAATGAATTTTGGCTGCTGAAAGTTGACTCACTATATTTGGATCTGTGCTGGAGGTCTCCAAACCACTCGGCCATTTTAAATCTTAGATCCAGCATGGTCATTGAAGTATCCACCTTGTCTCCTGTGGGAGGTCTGTGTTCTAACAACCTCACAAAGTAATGACTGGCGTCCACCACATTGGTAACTAACACCTGTGTAGTAGACAGTAGCTATATTATAGTTAGGTCACATGGCATTACATGTTATCTCCTGTGGGAGGTCAGTGTTTTAACAACCTCACAAAGTAATGACTGGCGTCCACCACATAGGTAATTAACACCTGTGTAGTAGACAGTAGCTACATTATAGTAAGGTCACATGGTATTACATGTTATCTCCTGTGGGAGGACTGTGTCTTAACAACGTCACAAAGTAATGACTGCCATCCACCACATTGGTAACTTACCCCTGTGTAGTAGACAGTAGCTACATTACAGTTAGGTCACATGGTATTACATGTTATCTCCTGTGGGAGGTCTGTGTTTTAACAACGTCACAAAGTAATGACTGGCATCCACCACATTGGTAACTTACACCTGTGTAGTAGACAGTAGCTACATTATAGTTAGGTCACATGGTATTACATGTTATCTCCTGTTTCAACAAATAACTTTTACTTTCAAATTGCTACTTCTACAGAAATCTGAGCTAAGATCATCTGTGACCTTATCTTGACCTCTCCATAGCTTAATTATTACTGCAAGTTTATACAATACACCAATGGTATGAAAGCAGACTAAGCCATTTTAACCTCTGACCTTACCTTGACCTCGCCACTGTTGAGTGGCTGTTGAGTAGCTTTACAATCCACCTCTGGTAACAGGGCATGTCGAGCTGGACATTTGTTCTGGTACCTAGTCAAACCAAAAGTAGAAACCATATTGGAGTGAATATTTAATTTAAATATGTACTACAAACCCAAAAATCAGTTCATATTTTTTTCTAAACAATTGATATACATAAAATCACTCCAATCATTTGTCCAGTAAGAAACTATTAAACATCTAAGACATGAATGTCCCCTTGGCCCTGTAATCGATCTCTTAATAGCAACAAGAGTTACTTTGGCCTTGACCTTGGGATGCTGATATACCGTACGAACTTAACTGAGGTATATTCATATATACTTGACCTTTTTTATAAACTTTGATGAAAATCTGTTAAGGAATAAAGTCTGTAGACGGAACGAAGAACAGGATATCAAGATTTTACTGTACACAGGGCACATTAACCATGTATAAAGTTAACTCAACTGTTGAAATATCCAATATAAAAAATTTGCCTCCTTTAACTTTTATTTCCCCAGCATCTTTTAGAAGGGATGACAGGGTTTGGATGCCTCATTTCTACTCATTTAAGTATACATTGAGAATTTCAACATTCAAGTGAATGCAGGGATTTTTCAACCTTAATTTTACAACAACCTTTTCCTACATGAATTGGGAAAATATAGCATTATTTTTTATTGAAATTGGGAATATGTTCCTGGTTGTTTTTTTCATTTTCTGAAAATTAAGCATTTTTTAGCAAGGGGAAACAGCATGTTTTTAGCTATATAACTAGGCAAAAAAATCCCTGGGATGTGATACTAATAACGGGAATTCCACCGATGTGACATGGTAGAGTTCATACCTGCATGAACCGTAAGCCTTCAGGGCCACACACAAGTCTTTGTCTCCATCACAGTTTTTTTCCTGTAACAAACAGTCAATCATAGTTATCATACCACAAACTTTGCAAAATCTGTCACTCAGAAAAACAGAACAATTGAAAATGTCTAGAACTATGTAATGTGTTCCCACAATCGAACAATTTTACTTTGCCATAAATCATCGTTGTTTCGTGCCATACCTGCTTTTGCAACCATTAGTCACATGGAAATGTTAAAAATTTTAATTTCTCTCAAGTGTTCTTCATTAGTTTTTCCTAGATTTGTTTGAGATCTTTTTCACATGCTGGCCCACTAATTAGCCACTAGATCTAGTCCATTACCTGGTTCAGTCCCATGACCATAGAGTAGAGGTTACGTGGGATTTTGCTCTTCGTCCTCTTGAGGAGCTGTAGAATAGTTTCCACTTGGCGACCACTATCTTCTGTGATAAGGATGTAGGATGTTGGGTCTATATTAATCTAGAACATAAAAATTTATCTTACTTTCATATTCTATCAAACTGTCGTGTCCCTTACATCCACGAGTTGATACCAGATTCTATATAACACATAAAGTCTGTTCAAATGTTGTTCATAAGTTTGATTAATTTAAAGGTGATGGAGCCAACGTCAGTTGAGGGTTTGTGGGTTGATCAATGGGCCCTTCGCTTTGGGTATTGATACCAAAAGGTATGCAGGGCGTTTACAGGTATGCAGGGCGTTTACAGGTATGCAGGGCATTTACAGGTATGCAGGGCGTTTACAGAAGTAAAATATACCTATAAGACCTGATGAACCCTCCTCACCTTTAGAGGTGAAACTCGTCGGCCAAATAAACTTAAATACCCCCTTAATTGGTGATGCTTGAGCATGTTGTAATTATAATCCTACTTCAAAAGTTTGATGTAACAAACAATTGTTGACTGAACGTATCATGTCAGACTCATTCATTTATTTATATATCTTCGGAAAAATAAATAACCCAGTTTTTAGAACAATTCAATCGTGAAGATTTCTTATCCACACTGCTCTAACAGATTTAGAAACAATGTAAATGTGCTTTTCTAAATAACTTTGAAACTTTTGTGAGTCTCTTACATCAAACACACCATTCTAGGAGTTATTAACATGATGTATCAGGAATAACTTCAATATTGTCTATACTGTTAAATATGCCGTAGAGGTGCTACATCACAAGTCGGAGAAGACTGATCAGCTGGCAATATGTGCCTACCTTTTCCTTGCTGGAGGAGTTGTGATAGTACTTGCTCATGGTAGAGAGCCTATTCCCAAACTTTGTCTTCGAGGAAGGCAGCTCATAATGGACGATGGCTGTAGCATCCACAATCTTCAATTCCTCCACACTCTCGTCCGTACAAACTGAGGAACAGTAAACTTACAGTTTACTTTAACGTACAAACTGAGGAACAGTAAACTTATAGTTCACCTTAAAGGACAAACTGAGGAATAGTAAACTTATAGTTCACCTTAAAGTACAAACTGAGGAATAGTAAACTTATAGTTCACCTTAAAGTACAGACTGAGGAACAGTAAACTTACAGTTCACCTTAAAGTACAAACTGAGGAATAGTAAACTTATAGTTCCCCTTAAAGTACAAACTGAGGAACAGTAAACTTATAGTTCACCTTAAAGTACAAACTGAGGAACAGTAAACTTACAGTTCACCTTAACATACAAACTGAGGAATAGTTAACTTACAGTTCACCATAACGTACAAACTGAGGAACAGTAAACTTATAGTTCACCTTAAAGTACAAACTGAGGAACAGTAAACTTATAGTTCACTTTAAAGTACGAACTGAGGAACAGTAAACTTACAGTTCACCTTAACATACAAACTGAGGAATAGTAAACTTATAGTTCACCTTAACATACAAACTGAAGAATAGTAAACTTACAGTTCACCGTAAAGTACAAACTGAAGAACAGTAAACTTACAGTTCACCTTAAAGTACAAACTGAGGAACAGTAAACTTACAGGTCACCTTTACATACAAACTGATTAACAGTAAACTTACAGTTCACCTTAACATACAAACTGATTAACAGTAAACTTACAGTTCACCTTAAAGTACAAACTGAGGAACAGTAAACTTACAGTTCACCTTAAAGTACAAACTGGGGAACAGTAAACTTACAGATCATCTCTACGTACAAACTGAGGAACAGTAAACTTACAGTTTACCTTAAAGTACAAACTGAGGAATAGTAAACTTATAGTTCACCTCTTACAGTTCACCTTAACATACAAACTGAAGAATAGTAAACTTACAGTTCACCATAACATACAAACTGAAGAATAGTAAACTTACAGTTCACCTTTAAGTACAAACTGATTAATAGTAAACTTACAGTTCACCTTAAAGTACAAAGTGAAGAACAGTAAACTTACAGTTCACCATAACGTACAAACTGAAGAATAGTAAACTTACAGTTCACCGTAACAAACTGATTAATAGTAAACTTACAGTTCACCGTAAAGTACAAACTGAAGAACAGTAAACTTACAGTTGACCATAACATACAAACTGAAGAATAGTAAACTTACAGTTCACCTTAACAAACTGATTAATAGTAAACTTACAGTTCACCATAACATACAAACCGAGGAACAGTAAACTTACAGTTCACCTTAAAGTACAACCTGAAGAACAGTAAACTTACAGTTCACCATAACATACAAACTGAGGAACAGTTAACTTACAGTTCACCTTAACATACAAACTGAAGAATAGGAAACTTACAGTTCACCGTAAAGTACAAACTGAAGAACAGTAAACTTACAGTTCACCTTTAAGTACAAACTGAGGAACAGTAAACTTACAGTTCACTTTAACATACAAACTGAGGAACAGTAAACTTACAGTTTACCTTAAAGTACAAACTGAAGAACAGTAAACTTACAGTTGACCATAACATACAAACTGAAGAATAGTAAACTTACAGTTCACCTGAACATACAAACTGAAGAATAGTAAACTTACAGTTCACCTTAACATACAAACTGAGGAATAGTAAACTTACAGTTCACCTTAAAGTACAACCTGAAGAACAGTAAACTTACAGTTCACCATAACATACAAACCGAGGAACAGTAAACTTACAGTTCACCTTAAAGTACAAACTGAGGAACAATAAACTTATAGTTCACCTTAAAGTACAAACTGAGGAACAATAAACTTATAGTTCACCTTAAAGTACAAACTGAAGACAGTAAACTTACAGTTCACCTTAAAGTACAACCTGAAGAACAGTAAACTTACAGTTCACCATAACATACAAACTGAAGAATAGTAAACTTACAGTTCACCTTAACAAACTGATTAATAGTAAACTTACAGTTCACCATAACATACAAACTGAGGAACAGTAAACTTACAGTTCACCTTAACATACAAACTGAGGAACAGTAAACTTATAGTTCACCTTAAAGTACAAACTGAGGAACAATAAACTTATAGTTCACCTTAAAGTACAAACTGAGGAACAATAAACTTATAGTTCACCTTAACATGCAAACTTAGGAACAGTAAACTTATAGTTCACCTTAACGTACAAACTGAGGAACAGTAAACTTATAGTTCACCTTAAAGTACAAACTGAGGAACAGTAAACTTATACTGAGGAACAGTAAACTTACAGTTCACCTTAACATACAAACTGAGGAACAGTAAACTTACAGTTCAACTTAACATACAAACTGAGGAACAGTAAACTTATAGTTCACCTTAAAGTACAAACTGAGGAACAATAAACTTATAGTTCACCTTAACATGCAAACTGAGGAACAGTTAACTTACAGTTCACCTTAACATGCAAACTGAGGAACAGTTAACTTATAGTTCACCTTAACATACAAACTGAGGAACAGTAAACTTACAGTTCAACTTAACATACAAACTGAGGAATAGTTAACGTACAGTTCACCATAACGTACAAACTGAGGAACAGTAAACTCATAGTTCACCTTAACATACAAACCGAGGAACAGTAAACTTATAGTTCACCTTAAAGTACAAACTGATGAACAGTAAACTTATACTGAGGAACAGAAAACTTACAGTTCACCTTTAAGTACAAACTGCGGAACAGTAAACTTACAGTTCAACTTAACATACAAACTGAGGAATAGTTAACGTACAGTTCACCATAACGTACAAACTGAGGAACAGTAAACTTATAGTTCACCTTAAAGTACAAACTGAGGAACAGTAAACTTATACTGAGGAACAGTAAACTTACAGTTCACCTTTAAGTACAAACTGAGGAACAGTAAACTTACAGTTCACCTTAAAGTACAAACGAATAGTAAACTTACAGTTCACCTTAACATACAAACCGAGGAACAGTAAACTTATAGTTCTCCTAAACATACAAACTGAGGAACAGTAAACTTATAGTTCACCTTAAAGTACAAACTGATTAATAGTAAACTTATAGTTCACCTTAAAGTACAAACCGAGGAACAGTAAACTTATAGTTCACCTAAACATACAAACTGAGGAACAGTAAACTTATAGTTCACCTTAAAGTACAAACTGAGGAACAGTAAACTTATAGTTCACCTTAAAGTACAAACTGAGGAACAGTAAACTTATAGTTCACCTTAAAGTACAAACTGAGGAACAGTAAGCTTACAGTTCACCTTTACATACAAACTGAAGAACAGTAAACTTACAGTTCACCTTAACATACAAACTGAGGAACAGTAAACTTACAGTTCACCTTAACATACAAACTGAGGAACAGTAAACTTATAGTTCACCTTAACATACAAACTGAGGAACAGTAAACTTATAGTTCACCTTAAAGTACAAACTGAGGAACAGTAAGCTTACAGTTCACCTTAACATACAAACTGAGGAACAGTAAGCTTACAGTTCACCTTAACATACAAACTGAGGAACAGTAAACTTACAGTTCACCTTAACATACAAACTGAGGAACAGTAAACTTACAGTTCACCTTAACATACAAACTGAGGAACAGTAAACTTACAGTTCGCCTTAACATACAAACTGATTAATAGTAAACTTACAGTTCACCTTAACATACAAACTGAGGAACAGTAAACTTACAGTTCACCTTAACATACAAACTGATGAACAATTGTAATTATGGGTAACTTAATACAACAAACTGATGAAAGGTAGTACCAATGTTTACGTTAACTTACAAACTTGAGCGTTGACCTGCTTTCAGTTTGCATTTATATTGCCTATGAAAGCCAACTAAAAGGAGTTCAATACAGTACTTTTTTTACATTTACCATTTTTAGAATATGTTAATTGCAAAATAAATTAACTTTTGATAATTCAACATTTAACCAAAATGAGTGTTTTTATTGTATATGCCTGTTCAATGAAAATAACAACTATTCGTCTAAGAAGGTCAATGGTATCCAATGTTACAATTATGACATCAACAGTTGAGTCATGATATTCATAGCTGATATGAATGCCATCTGTGGTAGGGTTACATAGCAACAATACCATATTATGGCAAAAATCAGTCTTTAACTTACAATTCCAATATACTTGACAATTAAGTAAGAATGAAGTTTACCTTAACATACAAACTATGGAACAGCAGTACTAAAGTTTAACTTAATACACTTAGAGAAAAAGTAATAGTATTAATCAGTGCTCAGTTTTCACATTCCAAGGTACAGTAACGCCATATGTATAGCAAGCATTTCTGAAATACACGAGGCATGAATTAGACTTTGTAGTGTGCTTTACATATCTTCAGCATTCATCACATCGACAAATGAATAAATACAGCCACATTTAATCAAATATGTCAATTGTTTTTTTGTCCTAATGAGGACCCTGGACACTTTTCTATGTACTTACTGAGAATCTTTCCTTTGTCTGAGGGCCCCGCCCACTCTTCCATGTCATACTTACTGAGAATCTTTCCTTTGTCTGAGAGCCCCGCCCACTCTACCATGTCATACTTACTGAGAATCTTTCCCTTGTTTGAGGGACCCGCCTACTCTTCCATGTCATAATTACTGAGAATCTTTCCTTTGTCTGAGGGCCTCGCCTACTCTTCCATGTCATACTTACTGAGAATCTTTCCTTTGTCTGAGGGCCCCGCCCACTTTTCCATGTCATAATTACTGAGAATCTTTCCTTTGTCTGAGGGCCTCGCCCACTCTTCCATGTCATACTTACTGAGAATCTTTGCTTTGTCTGAGGGCCCTGCCCACTCTTCCATGTTATACTTACTGAGAATCTTTCCTTTGTCTGAGGCCCCCGCCCACTCTTCCATGTCATACTTACTGAGAATCTTTCCTTTGTCTGAGGCCCCCGCCCACTCTTCCATGTCATACTTACTGAGAATCTTTCCTTTGTTTGAGGGCCTCGCCCACTCTTCCATGTCATACTTACTGAGAATCTTTCCTTTGTCTGAGGGACCCGCCCACTCTTCCATGTCATACTTACTGAGAATCTTTGCTTTGTCTGAGGGCCCTGCCCACTCTTCCATGTTATACTTACTGAGAATCTTTCCTTTGTCTGAGGGCCTCGCCCACTCTTCCATGTCATAATTACTGAGAATCTTCCCTTTGTCTGAGGGCCTCGCCCACTCTTCCATGTCATACTTACTGAGAATCTTTCCTTTGTCTGAGGGACCTTCCCACTCCCCTCCAATCTGCTCCAGCATCAGGGTGTCCATTTTGTCATGAGTCAATAAAGAGTACAAGGAGCGACTCTTTAACAACTGTAAGTAAAATTTCAATTTATAAACACAGGTCTGCCCATTATCTAATATCAAAATCTATTAAATCCTAAGAAAACTACTGTATAATGGTTAGAAACCAAAATGAAAGACCTCATGAACACCTATATACATACAGGTGAAACGTAGCACAGTTGTACAAGTCTAATTTTACATATAAAAGTAGCACTAGGGATATAGAGCCCGAAATGTTAGTACATGTGAAACCATCACTGTCACTGATTAGTAAAATTACCTTGTGAATGTGAAGCGTGGTGTTGACATTGCTACAGAAGATGATCATCTTGCTGTTTTCCTGTGCCAGGGAGTTGACCAGCTCCAGGAACTGGGACACCAGCTGGTCTGTCCGCCACAGCAGCGGTATCTGTTTGACACGGCCGTAAATTGCAGCTTCGAAACGAGAGGTGATGATGAGGGTGGGGTCGGGGATGAATGCATCGATAAAAGAGTTGACCATATTACACCAGCGTGAACTGAACACCAGTACCTCACGAGGGGCGGAGCGTTCCACATGCTCCTCTACAACCCGGGAATAGCTGATCATGAAGTCCTGAATCTAACACAAAATAGAGAAAACATAATCATGTCACCACTAAAAATGACAAACAAATATGTGAATACACCAAACAATTAATAATAGACAAAAATATTTATCTTAAAAAACATCTTTAAGGTTATTTTCTTTCTTATTTTTCAATCACTAGAGGTGATAGCTATATATTGCTCATTGCAAACAAACGAATTGTGATGATACCATCCTTTAACATTCAGTTTTTATTTAGAACTGATAATATTTTTTTGTGACTCCAAAGAACTCACCTCTTCCCTGAACTCTTCAAGAACAATCTCAGCATCATCTATAACCTATTAAAGGGAAAATACATGTGTCAACCTCAATTTTATGTACTTGTTACAACAAAAGAACTTCACTAATATGCCAGAAAATGCCCATTTTGCTCCTGTTAAATTGACCTAGGGTGTTTCAGCGATGAGATACCTTTGTCAGCTACAATTTTTTTCTTTTCTTATTTTTTATAAAAAAAAAAACGTTTTAGATAACTTCCAGATAAACCAGAATATTTGTTTTTCAGTTGTAATGGACAAGACCAACAACACAGACAGAGAAAGTTACCACCCACAGAGACATTGTATGTTACCAGCCCACAGAGACATTGTATGTTACCGGCCCACAGAGACATTCTGTGTTACCATCCCACAGAGACATTGTATGTTACCAGCCCAGAGAGACATTGTATGTTACCATCCCACAGAGACATTGTATGTTACCAGCCCACAGAGACATTGTATGTAACCAGCCCACATAGACATTGTATGTTACCAGCCCACATAGACAAAGTATGTTACCACCCACAGAGACATTGTATGTTACCAGCCCACAGAGACATTGTATGTAACCAGCCCGCATAGACATTGTATGTTACCAGCCCACATAGACAAAGTATGTTACCACCCACAGAGACATTGTATGTTACCAGCCCACAGAGACATTGTATGAAATCAGAAACAGGCATATTAATGCAGTAAGTCACAGAGACCTTTACCTGGATTGATTTGTAAGATACTTCATATCAATGATTTACAGGTTAAACATCCAGTATAGAAATTACCACACTTTGGGATATTTTTGCACTTTTTGCTAAAAATGGGGCAGTTCAATGTCTAGTACGTCAAACTTGGCGTTCAAAAATCCTGTGTGCTAAATTTCAGTATGGTACGAGTTGTTTTCAGATTCAATATACAACCTACTGTATTACGTTCCACCTGGCTGAACAGGAGTACATTTTTGTAAGATAACTTACGCTTTACTTACCACATAGAGATGTGACCTACATGTATACACTTCTTTACTTACCATAGAGATGTGACCTTCATGTATACACTTCTTTACTTACCGTATAGAGATGTGACCTACATGTATACACTTCTTTACTTACCGTATAGAGATGTGACCTACATGTATACACTTCTTTACTTACCGTATAGAGATGTGACCTACATGTATACACTTCTTTACTTACCGTATAGAGATGTGACCTACATGTATACACTTCTTTACTTACCGTATAGAGATGTGACCTACATGTATACACTTCTTTACTTACCGTATAGAGATGTGACCTACATGTATACACTTCTTTACTTACCGTATAGAGATGTGACCTACATGTATACACTTCTTTACTTACCGTATAGAGATGTGACCTACATGTATACACTTCTTTACTTACCGTATAGAGATGTGACCTACATGTATACACTTCTTTACTTACCGTATAGAGATGTGACCTACATGTATACACTTCTTTACTTACCGTATAGAGATGTGACCTACATGTATACACTTCTTTACTTACCGTATAGAGATGTGACCTACATGTATACACTTCTTTACTTACCGTATAGAGATGTGACCTACATGTATACACTTCTTTACTTACCGTATAGAGATGTGACCTACATGTATACACTTCTTTACTTACCGTATAGAGATGTGACCTACATGTATACACTTCTTTACTTACCGTATAGAGATGTGACCTACATGTATACACTTCTTTACTTACCGTATAGAGATGTGACCTACATGTATACACTTCTTTACTTACCGTATAGAGATGTGACCTACATGTATACACTTCTTTACTTACCGTATAGAGATGTGACCTACATGTATACACTTCTTTACTTACCGTATAGAGATGTGACCTACATGTATACACTTCTTTACTTACCGTATAGAGATGTGACCTACATGTATACACTTCTTTACTTACCGTATAGAGATGTGACCTACATGTATACACTTCTTTACTTACCGTATAGAGATGTGACCTACATGTATACACTTCTTTACTTACCGTATAGAGATGTGACCTACATGTATACACTTCTTTACTTACCGTATAGAGATGTGACCTACATGTATACACTTCTTTACTTACCGTATAGAGATGTGACCTACATGTATACACTTCTTTACTTACCGTATAGAGATGTGACCTACATGTATACACTTCTTTACTTACCGTATAGAGATGTGACCTACATGTATACACTTCTTTACTTACCGTATAGAGATGTGACCTACATGTATACACTTCTTTACTTACCGTATAGAGATGTGACCTACATGTATACACTTCTTTACTTACCGTATAGAGATGTGACCTACATGTATACACTTCTTTACTTACCGTATAGAGATGTGACCTACATGTATACACTTCTTTACTTACCGTATAGAGATGTGACCTACATGTATACACTTCTTTACTTACCGTATAGAGATGTGACCTACATGTATACACTTCTTTACTTACCGTATAGAGATGTGACCTACATGTATACACTTCTTTACTTACCGTATAGAGATGTGACCTACATGTATACACTTCTTTACTTACCGTATAGAGATGTGACCTACATGTATACAAGTTTTTACTTACCGTATAGAGATGTGACCTACATGTATACACTTCTTAACTTACCGTATAGAGATGTGACCTACATGTATACAAGTTTTTACTTACCGTATAGAGATGTGACCTACATGTATACACTTCTTAACTTACCGTATAGAGATGTGACCTACATGTATACACTTTTTTACTTACCGTATAGAGATGTGACCTACATGCATACACTTCTTTACTTACCGTATACAGGGTCGGCCATTAGAATTCAAGGGAATTCTTTTCCTCATTCAGATAATAATTATTCTTCGCTTTTATTAAGATCACACTATTATTGGATAATTTGGTATAAGATTGGTTTTTTGATAATGTCCTCAGACAGGAACTCACAACGTGACAGAGGCGTTCCAGATGGGTGTACTTCTGCTGCAGGAGGCGAGATAAACTACGTGGGGTGGTTATCAGTAGTTCACACCCATTGATCAATGGTACCTACAAACAAAAAGAAACAAGCTTAGCTCAGGTATTCCTAACCTTTTATTTATTTTACCAATATTTAAATCAGATGATATTAAATTATTAAAAAAATACAGTTTACAAAACCCATTTGAGTTTTTTTGGTGTTTTTTTTAATACACATTTACTTTTAATACACATTTCCACAATTGTCAGTTCATTACCTATTTAACATAATAAAGGTAGTTATCTGGATTTCATATTGCAAAACAAACCACTTGATTCTCCTCGTTCCCCCCTCCATAGGCGACTAGCACACGGAAGGAGCGACTGTTCCCCAGAAGTATTTTGGTCACATCATACACCATCTGGGCACTCTTCCAGAAAGGCACCAATATAATGGCGTACGGCTGAAGAAACAAAGTTGTACAATGACAAAGTACTACAATATAAAATTTCTGTGACAAAGTAATACAATATCACATTTCTATGACAAAGTACTACAATATAACATTTTGTGAGAAAGTAATACAATATCACATTTCTATGACAAAGTATTACAATATCACATTTCTGTGACAAAGTAATACAATATCACATTTCTGTGACAATGTATTACAATATCACATTTCTGTGACAAAGTATTACAATATCACAATTCTTTGACAAAGTATTTCAATATCACATTTCTTTGACAAAGTAACAAAATATAAATATTGGTGAAAAATGTACACAGTATAAACATCTCTGTGACCATGTTGTACAATATTAATATCTCTGAAAACGTATGTGGTGATGAATTCAGGAGATAGCTACCAGGATCTGGTGTATTATTCTCAACTTTTGCTCAAAGTAGATATTGTTTTATCAGTACTCCTAACGAATTCAGCCTGTGCAGTTCAGAAGACACTCACCCCATTGCCGGTGGGAATGTCCTTGTAGTTGGATGGCTTGAGGAGATCAGTGAGGAGCGGGGCAAGGTAGGCGAATGTTTTCCCTGACCCGCTGGGCGAAATACCCACCACATTGCGTCCTCTCAAGAGTGCCGGCCAGGTGTAACACTGTACGAACTTTGGTGCCACAATGCCATAGTTATCCAGGCCCTGAAACGTCACAGATATTTTAGTTATCTACATCAATTACAACAGCTAGAAAGAAGGATGAGAAGGTCCATGTATACATCAATTACAACAGCTAGAAAGAAGGATGAAAAGGTCCATGTATATATACATCAATTACAACAGCTAGAAAGAAGGATGAGAAGGTCCATGTATAAGTATGTTAGTACTTGTTTCCCAATCATCATAATGAAATGTCTTTTGTTATTGTATATGTTAATTGACATGAATAAAATATGGTTTAAACTAAATGCTATTAAATTCCTTTTAATATTTAAGCAGTCTAGGGATTCATTTCAGCTTCTTTTTTTATCACCTTCAAAAAACTACACAAACATGAAAATATTTGGAATCTAGACGGAAGAATATGAATAATAGGAATGTACATACCTCTCTAATGATGGGATCCAGTGGTGTGTCGTGGATGTTGTAGATAGGCTTGAGTGGGTCTTCACTGTGGACCAGCACTCCGTCATCATTCAAATTAGGCTCTTCCCCAGGCTGTTTATATAGAACATAGAGCTGTCTAGAAGTACACATTACACATAATTTCATACAGACAAAAAGCTTATACAGTCAAATACACACGATACAGAATATGGCAATTCTTTTCCAAAAATTGCCATCAGAAATCAAAATTAAGATCAGTGACCTATTTTGGTACAGTAAATTCTGTCATTTCAGGATAAATCCGCACACCAAATTTGTTCTCCAAGAGAAATAGTTTAGGTGATAAGCTTTGTCAATTTTTTTAATGTCCGAGGTCAGCGGTCAAAGCATATATCGCAATGACCTATATTTCATTACCTGCATTCTGTTATCATAGGATATACCTGTATATCAAATCTGGTTTCTCCAGGTGAAATAGTATAGGAGATATGCCCCAGACAATGTATTTCAAAGGTTGAGATAAAAGATCAAATCATCAGTCAGAGGGACCTACTTTCTTTACTGTGCAACCTGCCAACTTAAGGTGTTCTTGCATACCTAATCTGGTTACTCCAGGTAAAATGTTATAGAAGATAGGTCCCAAACAAACTTTTACCACAGGCTGAGCTCAAAGGTCAAACCATAGGTAACAGTGACCTATTTCTTGTACTCTGGACTCAACCATTGGAAGATGTACTAGCAAGGATAGGGCTTGTATAGGCTTTGCCTGCCGCCTAATTCCCTTTAAATCTGATTGATTATAAAATGTTTTGAAATTGAAAATTACTCGCATATCAAATCTGATCATATTTTCTCAAGTTGATATCTGCAAGCAGAATTCTATTTTTAGCAATGGTGACCTTGACCTCTGGTGGACCACACCTAAAATCAATAAGGTTCTTCGCATCTACTAGGGAAACCCTCACACTAAGTTTTAAGTCTGTATGGTCATTTGGTCATTCAATCTCAAGTTATAATCCAGACCAACAATCAGAATGGAACCGAGCTCAGCAATATACAGATAGAGATATAGAATGAAGCAGAATTCTATTTAGAAAATTTGAACTTTGTATTATCGTTCGTTCTAAAGTTACCATCCGTACAATTCCTATCAACAGACTGACAGACAGATACACCGTGGGGATAAAAAGTTGATGTCTGATAAACAGACAACATGCGACAAACCACAACATAAACGCACCTGGCACTTTGGACCAGGCAAGCTAATAAAACAGTTTCAGATGCGGTACTTATGAAATAGACTTTAGTTGTTCCGTCAGTCTTCAGTCTCAGAAAATAGTTTGCCTTTTGGGACAAAACTACAGAGAGATAGACAGACCGACACATCCCATGACAGCTTTATACCCCGGATATTTTTACAGAGGAATAAAAAGTTTATGTCCGATGAACAATGATGATTTTCCTTTGTCCCATTCTACAACTGTGTCCTTTGATAATAAATCTTCCATTTGTCTAAGCTTTCTAGCATATTTATACAAATACACCTCAAATTTATGTTTTCATCAGTCATCTTTCAAAGTGAGAACACTCACCTTCTTCCCCATCGAGTGTGAACCCACTCCCACACACAGCTTGTCCAATAACCTACAACAGCAGGAGTGTATAGGGTGCTCCAGTTTTGTGAAGAGAAGAACAGGCTGTAGTATTCGACTGATCTCATCTCTAGTAATGCAGGTTATAGCATAGTGTACTTGTACAGCTGATATTGATGTTAGTATTCACAGATTTTCACATTCTCAGATAAAAACATTGAATTCGAAACAAATTACTGATCTGTTACCATACAACTGATATCTAAATTTTTAAAAAAATTAAAAAAATTGGAAAAACCATATATTTTCTCACATTTTATGAATTGCAGCAGACTATACTGGTATCTACAAATCAAATAGAGGTTGATATAGGCAAAATTCTGCATTCATCACCCATTTAAAAGAACAACACATCATAATAACCTTCATCGCTATTTCTACTTAATTTACCTTTAACAATACTTTAAAAACAAGCCATTCGGATTGATATGTCTCCTCTGTGCCCCGCTTTGACCAAAAACTTAATGTTTATGGAAATGCTGACAAAGTCAATGGACCATGAAAGGTAGGCCGCATCCAGCATTGGATGCATGGGCTGAGAAGTACTACCTAAGATGCATGTATGATCCAAGTTTGAATGGTGTAGCACCTACACTTTCAGAGAAGCTAACTTAAACGCAAAAACTTAATGTTGATGGAGATGCTGACAAAATCAAAAGACCATCAAAGGTAGGCAGCATCCAGCATTTGATGCATGGGTTGAGATGTATTTCCTTAGATGCATCATTGGTCCAAGTTTGGTTGGTCTAGCACCTATACTTTCAGTGAAACTAACTTGAACGCAAAAACTTAATGTTGATGGATATGCTGACAAAGTCAATGGACCATGAAAGGTAGGCAGCATCCAGCATTTGATGCATGGGTTGAGATGTATTTCCTTAGATGCATCATTGGTCCAAGTTTGGTTGGTGTAGCACTTATACTTTTAGTGAAACTAGCTTAAACACAAAAACTTAATGTTGATGGAGATGCTGACAAAATCAAAAGACCATCAAAGGTAGGCAGCATCCAGCATTTGATGCATTGGCTGAGATGTATTTCCTTCGATGCATCATTGGTCCAAGTTTGGTTGGTGTAGCACTTATACTTTCAGTGAAACTAGCTTAAACACGAAAACTGAATGTTGACGCCGCCGTGGCTGGAAAAGCAACACCTATGTCTCGCTTCCACTTTGTGGCGGCGAGATAAAAATTGTCATATATTTTATGACTTAACTCTTTTAATATAACTGCATGTCACAAGGAAATATACCCCTATATAAAATTTACTCTTTACAAAACAAAACCAATAGATCTTGCAAATTAAAGAACCACAACTCTTCACAATAACCCTCTACTTCTACAAAAATACTGCAAATAATTATTGAAATAAAAAAGCAAATTGAATTTCACTACAAAAGAAATGATGCATAATATGTTCATATTTAAAATAAATTGAAATAAAAATAAAAATAAAAGCTTGTGCCGTGATGCATAGTGTGTCCACAATAAAAAGGAAATGATTATAGTCTAAATAACAATTCAAATGTGGAATGACTGTGGTATTCTGAATACCAATTGTTTTATCAAAAAAAAAGAAGATAAACCCACACTAGAAAAATATACATAGGCACTAATTATTATAACCCTTGTATCATGTAAGGACCCTTGTTGTAATGTTTTTATAAGTTCAGCTTCTGAATACAAGAAATTTTGTCGAAAATTGGCACCAATGGAAATTGTTGTTTCATGCATGCTAACATGTTAAGACCACAATTTATATGAAAAAAGTGTGGCATCAGTTGTGTTATATACACTCTCTACTGTACACCTACGTGTATGTGATTGTGTTATATACACTCTCTACTGTACACCTACGTGTATGTGATTGTGTTATGTACACTCTCTACTGTACACCTACGTGTATGTGATTGTGTTATATACACTCTCTACTGTACACCTACGTGTATGTGATTGTGTTATATACACTCTCTACTGTACACCTACGTGTATGTGATTGTGTTATATACACTCTCTACTGTACACCTACGTGTATGTGATTGTGTTATATACACTCTCTACTGTACACCTACGTGTATGTGATTGTGTTATATACACTCTCTACTGTACACCTACGTGTATGTGATTGTGTTATATACACTCTCTACTGTACACCTACGTGTATGTGATTGTGTTATATACACTCTCTACTGTACACCTACGTGTATGTGATTGTGTTATATACACTCTCTACTGTACACCTACGTGTATGTGATTGTGTTATATACACTCTCTACTGTACACCTACGTGTATGTGATTGTGTTATATACACTCTCTACTGTACACCTACGTGTATGTGATTGTGTTATATACACTCTCTACTGTACACCTACGTGTATGTGATTGTGTTATATACACTCTCTACTGTACACCTACGTGTATGTGATTGTGTTATATACACTCTCTACTGTACACCTACGTGTATGTGATTGTGTTATATACACTCTCTACTGTACACCTACGTGTATGTGATTGTGTTATATACACTCTCTACTGTACACCTACGTGTATGTGATTGTGTTATATACACTCTCTACTGTACACCTACGTGTATGTGATTGTGTTATATACACTCTCTACTGTACACCTACGTGTATGTGATTGTGTTATATACACTCTCTACTGTACACCTACGTGTATGTGATTGTGTTATATACACTCTCTACTGTACACCTACGTGTATGTGATTGTGTTATATACACTCTCTACTGTACACCTACGTGTATGTGATTGTGTTATATACACTCTCTACTGTACACCTACGTGTATGTGATTGTGTTATATACACTCTCTACTGTACACCTACGTGTATGTGATTGTGTTATATACACTCTCTACTGTACACCTACGTGTATGTGATTGTGTTATATACACTCTCTACTGTACACCTACGTGTATGTGATTGTGTTATATACACTCTCTACTGTACACCTACGTGTATGTGATTGTGTTATATACACTCTCTACTGTACACCTACGTGTATGTGATTGTGTTATATACACTCTCTACTGTACACCTACGTGTATGTGATTGTGTTATATACACTCTCTACTGTACACCTACGTGTATGTGATTGTGTTATATACACTCTCTACTGTACACCTACGTGTATGTGATTGTGTTATATACACTCTCTACTGTACACCTACGTGTATGTGATTGTGTTATATACACTCTCTACTGTACACCTACGTGTATGTGATTGTGTTATATACACTCTCTACTGTACACCTACGTGTATGTGATTGTGTTATATACACTCTCTACTGTACACCTACGTGTATGTGATTGTGTTATATACACTCTCTACTGTACACCTACGTGTATGTGATTGTGTTATATACACTCTCTACTGTACACCTACGTGTATGTGATTGTGTTATATACACTCTCTACTGTACACCTACGTGTATGTGATTGTGTTATATACACTCTCTACTGTACACCTACGTGTATGTGATTGTGTTATATACACTCTCTACTGTACACCTACGTGTATGTGATTGTGTTATATACACTCTCTACTGTACACCTACGTGTATGTGATTGTGTTATATACACTCTCTACTGTACACCTACGTGTATGTGATTGTGTTATATACACTCTCTACTGTACACCTACGTGTATGTGATTGTGTTATATACACTCTCTACTGTACACCTACGTGTATGTGATTGTGTTATATACACTCTCTACTGTACACCTACGTGTATGTGATTGTGTTATATACACTCTCTACTGTACACCTACGTGTATGTGATTGTGTTATATACACTCTCTACTGTACACCTACGTGTATGTGATTGTGTTATATACACTCTCTACTGTACACCTACGTGTATGTGATTGTGTTATATACACTCTCTACTGTACACCTACGTGTATGTGATTGTTATATACACTCTCTACTGTACACCTACGTGTATGTGATTGTGTTATATACACTCTCTACTGTACACCTACGTGTATGTGATTCGTATTGTTGTATCATTGTATACATTGTATATTGCACTATATAAACATGTATATATGCACTGTATGCGTTAGAACATTGGAAGTTTAGAACTTGAACTTTGTCTCAATACTTGTCTGGTATAGTGTTTGATCATAAAGCATATCCCAGGTAGGACATATTTAACCTTAAGTACAGTTAGGGAATGATTTAGTGTACACTCAGGACCAAATTAGGGTATGTCAGGGGCTCTGTTTAGGATATCATGTATCAAGAAAAGACATGCCAGTGGCAAAAAGGTTGCTTAACAGTTTCTTAGCAACTGTAATATTAGGATCCTGACCCTAAAACTTAAAGCAAAGCTAAAGACTTCACCTGAGAAATTGATATCTACTTTGGTGCCTGGCATCTTTAACGCAAAGACAAATTTTCTGACAATTGAATTTTTATAATATTGTGTCTGATATCTAAATTTGATTCAGTCAAGATTGAAATGTACCTATACCCAAAGTCTACATCAGGTCCATATCAAATGTATTAGAACTTGAGATATTAAATACATATGTATTACCTTTACCCAAAGTCTACATGAGGTCCATATTAAATGTATTTTGTTTCAAAGAAATTATTGATTTATTCTTTCCATTTTTCTCCACCTGTCTGACCTTGACACAGGAGTCATATGTATTAAATATTAGAATACAGTGAGTGTTATCTTGTTATTTGTATTTATCTGGTATGTTTATAAATATCACCTATTAGACATTTTGGTGCTATTAATGTTCTTCTTTTCTAAAACAATTCTAGTATTTTGTTAAATTTAAAGTTTCTAAAACTATCTCAGATTTCATATTTATCGTCAAAGAGTAAAAACGATAATAATGAAATGTAAGAGAAAATATATACAAACAAATACAAACAGAAAAATAGAAAATGAATGCCCTGTGGTTATTAATAGCAGTGACCTTGACCTTATACTTGGGACCCTGAAAAACAAATTCCTCCGAGGTATTCTCATACTTGACATTTGTACCCACTTTGATGTAAATGTGTTAGGAAAAGAGTTTGGTAGAATTGTGACATAGACTCGCCACATGAGAGGACAGTCATGGACATATGCTCCCCCCTCCTAACCCCGTTAAATGGGAAGGGATACTTCCAAAGATAGTTTATCTAGGATACCCTAAACCAACTTTATGTTAGAGCCAAGCTAAGAGCGCCTCTATACTCCGGGGGTTATGCTCACTTTCACTCTCTGCACCATGTCATAGTAAAATTCAAGGCTCAGTGTGCTTCACTTTGTGAGTGAGACGAGAAGACTAATTCAATCCTTTGATGTACATCAAAAGATTCTCGCGGTTACAAGGGTCTCGTAACGGTAAAATTGTTTGGCTTTGAGGTTGGGGGTCAGGTTGTTTTTTACCAGAGACCAATCAAATAGCTAGTTGTGTGCCTTCAATTTTACTATGATATATGCCACGGGTGCAGAAAGTGAAAGTGAGCGTAACCCCTGGAGTATCGAGGATGGGGGGGGTGTAGAAAGTGAAAGTGAGCGTAACCCCTGGAGTATCGAGGATGAGCTAGGTACAGCTTCATTTGGGCATTTTACATCATTATGTAATTCGTAAGTCCCCCAAGAATAATTAATTTACATTCAGTTCATCAATATTGCTCCCTTCAAGTTACTTGGCTCGGCCAGCATCAACGGATTATTGACACATATTTCCTTACCAGATAGCCAAATCAAACTGAAGGTAGTACCAAACACCACAGCTGTTATAGCCCCTTAGCCCAAATGTATATTTGTGTAATAAATTGAAGTATTTAATCTCAATATTCCTTGCTTGTGTCTTTTGTTCATAAACTCTGTACAGTTAGTACAGTTAAACATGTTTATAGTGAAGCCCACCCATGGGACCTAAGACGTTAACTCTGTGCAGTTAGTACAGTTAAACATCTCTATATATTGATGATGATAAGGGTAGCTGAGAAGCAGATCATTTAGAGAAACGAAACAGTATATGATGAGTGTTGTAGCAATTAAGTCACGTTTTCAAACCGAACATAAATCTTACCTTTGGCCTGCACTATTAATGTTGCACAAAAAAATACAAAAAAAAGTTAATGAAAACCACATTCATTAGACACATAAATTGAGATTTTTTTCCTCCCATTCAATCAGTAATAAATTTAACAGGAAGGTACATAACCTCTGTAGGTATATTTACTATATGTGTGAATCTGTTAATGTCAGTCCTTTTCTTGAAGAAATCAGGATAACAAGATCCTCTCATATAAATATTGAATTTGAGAAAACTATACCTGATTACAACTAGGCAAACAATTGTGGGGTGATCCAAAGTTAAGGGAAAATAAGGGAAACAATGTCCAGTAATAACTTTTGAAAATGTATATCAAATTTAAACATCAGGTGGCCCTCCTGAATAATTATGTAGCAAGGGCTGTCATAAAAAAAATAAACTCAAAAAGGGTTTTACACTGAAACATGCTAAAATTACGAAGTTGATAAATGAATACCAATAAATGTGTATACAATAGTACATGTACTCACTTTTTACCAGTGAGCCGACCCATCATTTGTGTTTTCTTAGCATGAGTTTCAGCTAAAGCTTCACTATCCCGAAATCTGAAATAAACCATAAGACCAATTTCTCAGGACTACTTCAGGTATCACATATATCATAATAATACTATTGTAAACTGTGTGTTCCTAAATCAGTGTAAATGTCTAGCTGCTCTCATCATGGCTTCTCCAGGGATGTTCACAAATCAGAGTCTAGTCGCTTCTCTGGAGACATTTTCTGAGTCTAGCTGCTCACTTCTCTTGGCTGTGTAGGTGCTTCTCTGGAGACATTTTCAGAGTCTAGCTGCTCCCTTCTCTGTGCTGTGTAGGTGCTTCTCTGGAGCCATTTTCAGAGTCTAGCTGCTCTCTTCTCTTGGCTGTGTAGGGGCTTCTCTGGAGACATTTTCTGAGTCTAGCTGCTCACTTCTCTGGGCTGTGTAGGTGCTTCTCTCAATACCCCCGGAGTCTAGCTTATTCAAATATTATCATAAATTTAAGTTTAATATAGATATGGTATTTAAATCGCAGGAGTGAGTAGTCCCTGATGCTCTAAATGTATTAATGCCTGTAAATATGTTGCTAACAACAGTAATAAACCGGTTAACTGTTTCTTGTGTGTTAGTTGTATATAAAAGACAATATAAGAAAGCTTCTTGTTTACCTTATTTAGATAAAAAAAATATCTAGATTTATTATTGCGACACCGGATAAAACTATGCACTGTTATGCAGAAAAAAAGGAAACTATCTAGAGTTGCTATATGTGGCATTCTAATCCTGAGGTCAGCCTACACATACCTGACGGAAGGCTTGTCATTCAGCAATACAGAACTTGATGATTTCTTCAGGATAGACTTCTTAATATCACTGACAAGTTTATCCTCTTCTGATGAAGCTGACCCACTACTTTTACTAAAAATGACAAGACAAAGATACACACAATTTACAACACACATTAGGAAGTAAATATCTTCAATTGAACGTTGCAGGTGCTAACGAAAGAAACTCATCTTGGAGGGGTAGAATCAAACCTTGAAGGGGTAGATATCTGGCAGGAGACTTGTACCCTGGAGTTAACAAAAGACACAAAACTTGAAGGGGTAGATATCTGGCAGGAGACTTGTAACCTGGAGTTAACAAAAGACTCTAACCTTGAAGGGGTAGATATATGGTAGGAGACTTGTACCCTGGAGTTAACAAAAGACTCAAACCTTGAAGGGTTAGATATCTGGCAGGAGACTTGTACCCTGGAGTTAACAAAAGACACGAAACTTGAAGGGGTAGATATCTGGCAGGAGACTTGTACCCTGGAGTTAACGAAAGACTCTAACCTTGAAGGGGTAGATATATGGTAGGAGACTTGTACCCTGGAGTTAACAAAAGACTCTAACCTTGAAGGGGTAGATATCTGGCAGGAGACTTGTACCCTGGAGTTAACAAGAGACACGAAACTTGAAGGGGTAGATATATGGTAGGAGACTTGTACCCTGGAGTTAACGAAAGACTAACCTTGAAGGGGTATATATGGTGGGAGCCTTGTACCCTGGAGTTAACAAAAGACTAACCTTGAAGAGGTAGATATCTGGCGGGAAACTTGTACTCTTGAATTATCAGGATCACTTTCTGAAGCAGATGATCGCATGGCTGATTTCGGAAGCCGTGCCGGTGTCAGTGGAAGGCTGAGCTCACTGTGCAATAACTTGCTTGTGTTGGTCTTAATTGAAGTTTTAGTTGGTCCCAGATCATTGGTGGCAGTGGATTCCTTCTTCTTGGGAGATATCACACTTATTAGCCTTCCTAACATGAAATTTTTTGAAACAATAGGTGAGGTTAGGGAGGAGTTAGATGAAGCCGGTGACATGCTAAGTCTTTCGATACTTTTATCCAGGGCAGAAGAGCAGATGGGCGACACTGGTGTTCCTGATGATGTCAATATACCTACAGAAGTCAATGCCTGAATGCTGTTTGTGGATTTCTGATGAAAGGGTGATGAATTATAAACAATTTCAGAATCACTACACACAGAAGGTTCACACAATTTCTTTCTCTCCCTGATTTCAGTAATAGTAAAAGGCTTCCTTTTTAGATCGTTCTTTTGGCTCTTTTTAACATGATCTCCCTCAGCTAGAGTGCCCGAAACATTCTGAGATGACAAGTTTGAAATGCTGTTGGTGATTTGGTCAGCCACGGAATGATGTATTCCTCGGCGCTTCATTCTCTCCACCACTGGTACAGTACTATTGAGGGAGTGTTTTACAGGAGAGAATAACGTTCTCCTGCCACTCTCAGTATCACTGCAGCTACCCGACAGAGGTTTCTTTGTCCTGTTTCCCCCATCACCATAGAGACTGCTCTCCAATGTCTTTGTGTGTTTCAGCAGTTTCTGTATGACAGCTTCCCCGGAATCTGAAATAAAATCAATTGTTGAATATCTATCAAACTGTTTCGACCAATCTGCCGGCCTCACTCTGGTGAAATCCTGTCACAATGAAGCTAGTCAAATTTCTAACTCAGTGGAAGAAGCAATCTCCAGCAGTGCTTGTAATTTGTAAGTTAAACCCTTATAGATATCATCATTTTTGAAAACTGAAAGATTGTCTGACCTGAATTCCCCCCATTATCACACAAAATAGTGATTTATTTTTTCAATTTCTATAATAATAGTGACCTTGACTTTAAGTTCCTGAAAAAATGAGTTAATTTAAAGAACATGCATCCCCATAAATATAATTCACCTTTGTATAAGTTTGATCAAAACTTGTTAACAAATGAGTTGGTTTGGTTCTGTTTGTTTGTGTTTTACGTCCTATTAACAGCTATAGTCATTTTAAGGACATGTCAGGTTTTGGTGGTGGAGGAAAGCCAATATTCCCGGAGAAAAACCTTGACTTACGGCCAGTACTTCGTGACTGCCCCAGGTAGGTCTCGAATCAGCGACCCAGCGGAGGGCTAGTGGTAGCAGATTGTCAGAGGCCTAAACCACTTGGCCACCGCAGCACCCTTAACAAATGAAGTTGCTGGAGTAATGTCACTTAATTGGTTGACAAATTTCAATGAAAAGTTATGGTGACCTTGGCCTTGACATTAAATTCTGAAACGTATTTTTCAATTCTAAAAAAAGTGCACAATGTTTGAGCCAAACTTGGCCATTTTTCTTGTGGCTTTCAAGTGAAGAACAATCACATAAACTAGCATTTTGTTTTTGTGAACAAAAACATGTGTCTCCCCTTATTAGCCAATAGAAAAACTCCAGTATATAAAATTAACAAAGGGCCATATCTCTTTATATAGTGGGGCACGAGACTCGAATTTGGAATTTGACACTCCTACTTCCCAAGATACATTAAAACTTTAGCAAGTTTGGTCATCGTAGGTGAAACTAGAACACTGACAGGTCAGTAAGGGCCCTGTCTTGTGGCAATATATCCCCCATAATCATCAAGAAGCAATTTGCCCATATAGCTGAGCTTGTTGTTTGACATTTGGACTTCAATAAAAATTGCAAGAAAGCAAAATATACAATTTACATGTACTATGATTTGAGTCTTGTTTCCTTCCACTTCCATATTTGCCGGGCTAACAGAAATGTAAATACCAGTGCAATACTCATTTGTTAGCTTTAATTGTTTTATTTCACCTTAAATACCTCCCCCATCAAGATCCAAGGTCAAAGTATGGGATCCACTTTGTCTTTGACCTTTGGACCCAAATGACCTTGACTTTTAACCCAGTGACCCAGTGATCTTGGGTCAGTTGACTCATTCTTCCATTCCGACCAACTTTGCTTCATAATATCATAACAAAATGTTCATCGGTGAAAAATACAAAACTTGACCTTGACCTCAAACCTTTGGAACCTGTAACCTTGACCTTTGGTCAGTTGACTCCGTGTTAAGTTCTGAACAACTTTGCTTCATAATAACATACAATAAATATTCATCAGTAAAAATATACAATATCTGACCTTGACCTTTGACCAAGAGACCCCTTGACCTTTGGTCAAATGACTCCTTGTTTAACTCTGACCAACATTTCGTCAAAGTATCAAAACGAAATGTTCCCCAGTGAAAAGATGCAAAATGTAACCTTCACCTTTAACCCTGTGACCTTGACCTTTGGTCAACTGACTCCTTCTTTAATTGCGAACAACTTTGCTTCATTCGACATAATTACTAGAAACTTCCAAATTACGTAGTCTTTGAAGCAAATCTAATAATTATTTTTTTAGGCGAAAAAGACATCTAATTTGAGTTGTAATTTTATAAAATATCTTACTTCATTTTTATTATGGCCAACCTCACTTGTTGATTACTTGAAAAGATTTGATGGCAATTTGAAAATAACATTTTAAAACTTTTTTTTATTTCATGTTAAAATCAGTCCTGTTTATGTTACTGGATGAAATATACTGTATGAATATCATTTGTTTACCTGCTAAAGTTTGTTCTGGATTGCACCAGGCAGCATACTTGAGAGTGACAAACTCTTCGTTGAGCCAGATGGTTTGTTTGGGGGAGATGAAGTAGATATCTACATGGTGAACATCGTCCCGATCCACACACCTGAAGCGTGCCTTCGTGCTATGACTCTCTGTCAACAGAACAAACATGTATTGGCACACTGGAAAACACATCTCCACTTTTGAAAAAAACATTTTGTTGATTTAGGAAATTTCTGGAAATAAGATTTTTGCATATATGGTATGGTCACTTCGAAACAAGCTAGCCACATGACTAGTTTAGCCACATGGCTAGTTTAGTTTACCTTTTTGTATTATCATTGTTTTAACTAAGAAACCAAGGCAAAAATTGTCACTGATAAAAGATATTTGGTTATCAATGTGTAGGCTTATTTTCTGTTTACCACATTGTATTTCAAACTACATTGATGTGGATATAAAGGTAGCAATGCCTGCATCCACTAATATCTTGTATATATGTTTTATGTTAACATTGTCTTACCTTTGACAACCTGGTTCATCAATGTCACTGCTGAGGTATCCCAGAATTCAGACACCCTGTAACAGTGCACATTACATTGCATTTATCAAAGCAATTTGATATAAAGTACCACACATCAATACACATAAGTCCTACACATATATTTCAGTGCTTATCACAAAGGGAAACATTACTGTGGTCATGTACATGTATAATATGTAACACTGCATCCATATGTGTGACCTATAACACTACATATACCTGTGTGACCTATAACACTTCATACACCTGTGTGACATAATACTACCTACACCTGTGTGACCTATTACACTACATACACCTGTGTGACCTATAATACTACCTACACCTGCGTGACCTATAACACTACATGCACCTGTGACCTATAACACTTCATATACCTGTGTGACCTATAACACTTCATATATATGCGTGACCTATAACACTTCATATACCTGTGTGACCAACAGCACATGCACCTGTGACCTGTAACACTACATATACCTGTGTGACCAATAACACTTCATATACCTGTGTGACCTATAACACTTCATATATATGCGTGACCTATAACACTACATATACCTGTGTGACCAACAGCACATGCACCTGTGACCTGTAACACTACATATACCTGTGTGACCTATAACACTACATATACCTGTGTGACCTATAATACTACATACACCTGTGTGACCTATAATACTGCATACACCTGTGTGACCTATAACACTTCATATACCTGTGTGACCTATTACATTACATACAGTAACCCTTTTGTTACTACAGTAGTAACATTCCATACATATGTGTGTCCTATAACACTAATCAGGGCATGATGCAGGAATAGAAAGTTAGTTCATGCTTTTGAAATAGGGGAAAATATGCGATGAAGGCAAATGACCCACCAGCAGGAAGTGTGGCTGCAGCCTGCAGGAAGGGTGGCTGCAGCCTGCAACCAGGAGGAGAGTAAAGGAGGAGACATGAATGACATGTTGAAAATACTCATAACCCAACGCTGTTATGCAAGCTTAAATGAACTCAAATCAGTTGATCACCGGACAACTCGACAGTCCATGTAAACACAACGCTTACATATAAGTGGCCATAACACAGCAAAATTTAACACCCACCAATATGTACCAAATACGAAACATTGACCCTACAATTTTAAAGCGCTATACAGTACATCCATGCTAATACACCTATGTGATCTATAACAATACATACACTTCTTTGAAGGTAAGGTCCTCTGTTTCCACAGCTAGGGTCAGAGCCTTCACACCGTACAAACAGAACTTCTTCACCTGGTAGGGCACTTGTAGGTAGTCACTTGAGGCCTTTCTGAACCTGAAACACAGATCAGTTTTCAGCTTACATGTAATAGTTCAAATTTTCATTAGGACTGTTTTGCAAATATCATAACAAAAACAATGTTTCACACATGCTTACCTCACTTTGCTCATATTTATTCTCCAAAGCCCAAAAAAGTAACTATAAGCATCTTTTTTTCCCTATTGATTTGATTAGTATCTGTATGCAGTACCTAGATATTAGTCACTTTTTTAAGAACTCAGATTAAATGAAACTTACCATTTAAGTGGTATGAAATCTGAGATGCCATAATCTAGAAAAAAGCACCTGAAAAAAGAAAACAAAAAATCACCATTTTCTGTATAATGATAAGAGACATTCCTAAAGTTTTAAAAAGGCTTGTCTGTTTTGTAATGCTCTCTCGAAGTTTCTCTTTGCGCATACTACCAGGGAAATATGCACTTCATTATACTCAGAAAAAAATCAAATATTGTCACAGAATCAAAGGACAAAATATTATGAATGTATTATCTTCAAATCATTGTATTAATTCTACCACAACAGAGATATAGAAATAAGATTAACAAAACTCAAACAGTTAAAATAAAATGTAATGGATGTCATTATTTTTCCATGAAATGCCTCTGATAGGAGTCTAAGCTAGGACCTCAGGTCTATTAGTCTCGACGCTTTACTGAATGAACTAAAGAGAATTTCTACCTAGCTGAGCCGGTAAGAAGACACTAGCAATATACCAGGGTAACATGATTATAACAAATTGATTGTACTACAAAATATACTCAGATCAAAGCCACATATGCAGCTGGCTCATATACCATGGATTTATAATGTTTATCATACATGTGAAACTTTATCTACCTTCCTTCAGGTCCACTTCTCCTGGAAAGCACTCCCTTTACTTGGACCCGGCACCAACAACGATCTGACACCCGACGCCCAATACATATATCACCCTGAAATAGACATCGTCACCAAATATTCATGGCAAAATGTTCTCATTAACAGTTATACTGCAAATATTTACTGTTTTTTTCTTTCCACTCCTAGCATCTAGAGGAACAACATCTTTCCTTTATAAAACAATCAATTCTTCCTTTATAACAAGCAATTCCCTAGTCACAAGAATGATTCTAGTCTAGAGGAACAACATCTTTCCTTTATAAAACAATCAATTCCCTAGTCACAAGAATGATTCTGGTCTGGATGGACAACATCTTTCCTAAATTAAAACAACTGATTCCCTGGTCAGTAAAAGACTACCTACATAGTATTTGGACTTAAGTTCCTGAATCTTTCAAAATTCAAAACCTTCCTTTAAATTTTCATTTTTTTTCTTTATTTTGTACACTTTTCCGATACTTATATGACAACAAGTATTCATGCTATCAATTATGAAGGTCATGGTAACAAATTGAATTTCAACATTTATTATTGACATTTTTATGTCACATCAGTTTCATCTAAGTTTGACAGAGTATTTTCTGTAGCGACCATGGACCACATAATTCTTACACAAGGTTTATACTTTTCCTGAGGATGTTTTACTAGTAGTGTCACATCTTCTGCCTTGATATTAACTTTGTTTACACTCTATAACAAGAGGCCCATGGGCCTTAACGGTCACCTAAGATCCGATTCAAATTAGGACTGTCATCCAGGGGCCAATTCATACTTTTCGACGGTCCGAGTGACCTTGCTGCATCGTCCATTAAATTTTCCTTGTGAACACAATAACTAAATATGAACCGATTTTGATGAAACTTTGTATGCAGCTTTGTATCAATGAGATCTTGGATGAGTTTGAATACCTGACCAATTTGACCATAACTCACATAGTTATTCATCAATCTTTGTTAACATTTACTCAAGTTATCGTCTTCACAGGGACAAATAATAATATAATGACAAAGGGCAATAACTCTGCAGGCTACCGTCAAATAATTACTGTTGTCAACTTGTCCGAGATCTTTAAGATGTAATACTGTGGCCAAAGTTTCATTGAACTCCGTCAACATGTATTCAAGTTATCGTGTTTACAAAGTCCAATAATAATATTATAACAAAGGGCAATAACTCTATAAGTTACTGTCAAATAATACCAAGTATCCAACTCATCCGAGATCTTATTGATATAAGGCTACATACAGAGTTTCATCAAACTTGGTTAAGATTTACTCAAGTTCTCGTGTTCACAAGGTCCAATAATAATGTTATTACAAAGGGCAATAACTCTGTAAGTTACCGTCGAATAATTCCCATTTTCGAACTCGTCCGAGATCTTATTGATATATGGCTGCATACAAAGTTTCATCAAACTCAATTAACATTTACTCAAGTTATTGGTTCACAAGGTCCAATAATAATAATAATATTACAAAGGTAAATAACTCTGTAAGTTACTGTCCAATAATTCCCATTTTCTAACTCGTCTGAGATCTTCATTGATATATGGCTGCATACAAACTCGGTTAACATTAACTAAAGTTATCGTGTTCACAAGGAAAAGTTAACGCATGACGACAGACAAAAGGCTATCACAATAGGTTACCATGACCCATGGTTAGGTAACCTAAAAATGTAGCTTTCAAGAGAAAACAATAGGAAACCATGTGCACCAAGGATGCTTTCAACCAAATATGGTTGTTATCCATTCCAGGGGAGTGATTGCTTAAAACAATATGACAAATTACTCTTGGCCCCACCCCTCAGCACGGCCTCTGTGAGATCACCAGCCCCTCTACTTGTACAGTTTTTAATCACCACCAACTGAGGACGCTACCAACCAAATACGGTTGATATCCATTCTACAGTTCAAGATCTATGGAGAGCCACTCATAAAAGCAAAATTATACACATTTTGGCCACAATCCTTTGACCACAAGGGATGTACTATTTTGAATTCCCACCAACTAAAAATGTTTTTTTAATTAAATTTGATGAACTTTCGTTCAGGGCTTCAGAAGTAGAGACTGACTGATGTCACAGCACAGTTAAGCTCATGATCACCATGGTACGTACAATACATGTATTTCAGAATAAGTGAACTCAAAATTATCAAAAGATTAAAAACACATGTTAGACTTAACAGATCAACAGAACGAGAATAGCAACATCATATGACACTTTTATTTCAAATGCCCACATTCAAATCATGAAAAAGATATTTTTTGAAACAAAAATGGTAAAATTAACCTACCTCATTAGGTATGTAATTTGGCAAGTATAGACTCTCACTGTTGAAAAAGTCATTGATAGACTTTTCCAGCTGCTGGAATGACAAACCTTCTGATGACTCCAAGTCTCTAACCACTTTGGCATAAAACAAAGCGGGAGACTTCACCTTGGTGATCTCAATGTCAACCAGGTCACTCATGGCTTTCTTACATCAAGGCTGTCTACCGTTATGTCGTCTAATCAACCAACGATATATATCACCTGAAACAAAAATATTATAATCTAAACTACCTACAGAGTTTGACAGTAATGGTAAATTGGTATGTAGGTAGAGGATTCTGAAATATGGGAATGTTTCAATATACCCAATCATGCCTGAGTGGAAGAGTCAGGCCACCTAACATTTTGACTGAAAAGATATAGTCAATTTGTAAATTACTTCAAATACAATTAATATGAAATAATTCTCTTTAATTTCTTGATTGTTGGACTTAGCAATGGATTCTGTCATTGCAGATTAAACAAACTCTATATGAACAACCAGCTCTGGTTTCAAGGCCACCTGTTGAAAAATTCACTGTGCAACGTTGAAAGTGATAAAGGACTTGACTATAAAGCAGTGGAAGAAGGTTCGTTTTTGTAACATTGATACAAAAGGTTTAATAATATTGGTTGATCATTGACAAACCAAACTAGTCTTCCTTATAAGGACTGTATAATGTTTATGTAATTAGACACTCTGATGTTTTCATGCATGCCGTTATTACACTGGCGACTGTAGCCAAACTGGACTGGGTCGATTGTACTCAACAAGGTCAATTGGTAGAGCGTCTGTCTAGAGTTTTGAGAGTCCTGGGTTCAAATGCGGGCCTGGCCATTGCATTTTTTATTTCTCCTGTTATGAAATTGGCGAGCTTCCCAACTCTTGTTTTAAGCATTTGGTGTGAGCTTTGCAATTGCAAGGCCCAGCCCTGGATAAATAATTTACCCGCACCTGGGTTGTAAATATAGAGTTAGAACAAGAATTCCACGGAAGTTTGATCGGCCCAAGGAAACTCAAGTTATTGCACGAAAACCTCTGTGCAGACGACGACGCCGCCGACACAGCAAAATACCTATGGTGTCACCAGCTTTTCGCAGGCGACACAAAAAGGAGGGAGTTGCAGCAGAACTGGACTCAGATCAATCGTAGGAAACCAAGCAGCTCAATTGGTAGAGCATCTGACTAGAGTTGGAAGGGTCCTGGGTTTGAACTCTGGTCTGGCCGTTGCATTTCTCCTCCTGTTACACTAACGTTACCCAATATTGCAACATGTTTTACTTTACAACAAATTTTGCTTTTTATGTGTGCAACGTCTGTACATGGTTCCTTTCCAAAGAAAAATAATAAAGCTCTGAGAAATCTATTCAGCAGTCACAAGAACGGATTTGTCGTCATAAACTCGAAAAGTGGGTTCATGCCAGTCCTTCTGCATATTACTAGGAAACCAAAACTATCGAAGGGAGATAATTCATCTGGGTTTTTTTTTTTAATTTGTCTATAAAGTGACATTAATCGACTTTTCGTAATTTGTATTAAGGAATTTAAACATTTTCATTTTTCATTTTGATACCGTTCCGTAAAGTGGCTTTGGCGCGCAGCTTTCCGTTTTGCAGCCATGGCTAATGTACAGACTGTAGGCCAACTCACTACTTTGAGGAGGATGCTAATTTGTTCATAAAGCATTAGCATCCATGCATTCCTTATGTTTTCAGTAACTTCGTGCAAGAAACATGTTAATGATAAGTAATGTCAGATATTCTTCCATAGGACCTAGATCCAAGTCGGGCCTACCATATTTTCTTCACTTTTCTTGCGGGCATGGCGAGAAATCTTTGTCGTTTCTAAGCTTGAATCTTCCCATTCGAATAAAGCACTTTCGTGACCCATGTGATAACAGTGTGCTGTCCACATGGCCCAGACAGAACGTCAACGTTAGCCTTAGCTAGAACAAAATTAACACTTAGTCTATAATTTTTACTGTTTATTCTAACCATGGCGGGAGGACCTGACCAGAAAACCGTCTTGTCAAAAAATGTCCTCCAAATGAAGGTGCGTGTTGATGTGTGTTACGATGAAAGCAAATGTTACATTTTATCATTGGTTCAGCAGCCAGATAATTTACCACAGTTAATGATATGTGATACATATACTACTATAGAGATCTGTGGCATTTTTACCGAGTGTTGATCAAAGACGAATCCCTACACACTAGGACTGAGGTCTAAACATATCATAATGTTCAGGCACCTGTGATGGGGCTAAGAACATAGAGCTAAGAAGTCTGGTTTGATTTAGTTTTTAGCAAATCATTTAATGGTGTTTAAATGACCACAAAGCAGGCCACGAAAGTTAATTTCTGAATGCACACACATGTATATCCCTAATATACACAGAGTTATAGCCCTTTGTACACACGTATTAGCTGTCCATTGTCTTCCATCCACTAATCTGGAATCACAGCTAGTGTTTAATTATTATTATTAAATAAAACCAAGCATGCTCTGTTTGTCCAATGGTCCCATCCTTGTATGCTGTAAATATCATAAAATTTTAACGAAAGTTAACAGATATGGTAACGACCCCCTGGCCTTGTACATTTTTTATTTCAACCCTTTTTAATGGAGGACAGATATTCCCTTTATGCTAATTGTGGGATGCAAGCGTTATCTTAGTAAGCCTCTTGATAACAGTTCTAGTTGAATCTAATTATGTTTGTAAAAGAAAAAGTTTAAAAACTAAATGATCCGTTATTGTTTTTGTTTTTGCAGTTTATGCAGAGAAGTGCATTACGTATAGAGAAAGAACTAAATGAGGAAGAAAATAAAGACATTGATGACGAACATTGGGTTTTGGACCTACCAGCCACACAGAAACTAGAGTAAGTAATATCTTCAATCAGATTCAACAGTTTGGAAGTATGTAATATCAAAGTTTTACTTTATACACAAACAATGTACATATTAAACGTGTCGAAACGTTAAGACCGACTGGTCCCTTTGTCAAGCTATAAGTGTCAGTGAGCGATTTGTATTGTTTACCTGTACAACGATGTGAGGACATTGCATTAGTTTTTTTACTCAACCCTGGATGGTTCGTCTATTAATGGAGAGCGTATACACTGTCTCAAATAGGTTTAGATAAGAATTACTGTCAATATTAGTTTTAAAATTTCATTTTTCATTGTTTTCAGAAATAATTACATGTTTGAACCAAGCCTTGTGAGAATTGAAAGTCTTCAGTTCGGCAGGATGTCTTTCTGCGGCTTCAACCCAGAAATAGAGGTATGGCAATTGGAGACAACAACACCAAACAGCTTAACCTGTCTAAACCAACCACACATTGGGAAAGCAAGATAGATATTTAAAACTTCACAGATTTACTTAAATACAAATTCATGGAAGTGGATTACAGGTTTTAAGATTAGAACTGTTGGGTTCACATCGTAGATAGGTTTTAGGTTCGATGGAATTAGACAAGATTATGATTTTTGGGTTTAGATAGTTTTTTTACAAGTGACTTCTCTCTGTGATGTTTACCTGTTATTACCTGTGATGTTTACCTATTATTACCTGTGATGTTTACCTGCTATTACCTGTTATTACCTGTTATTACCTGTGATGTTTACCTGTTATTACCTGTGATATTTACCTGTTATTACCTGTGATGTTTACCTTTACCTGTTATTACCTGTGATGTTTATCTGTTATTACCTGTTATTACCTGTGATATTTACCTGTTATTACCTGTGGTTTAGTATATACCTCTTGCATGTGGTACATGTACCTTTTGAAATGTATTTGAATGTGTATTTTTTCTGGCAATCAGAGACACAATTACATTTTCCTGGTTTTGATTTTAGAAACTGATGAAACGTCATAACACCAAAGTAGAGCTTGATGCAGCAGAGGTGAAGGAGATGGAGTTAAGTGTGCAGGAAGATGAAATGGCAAACAGGTATGTACTTAACTTTTAACATTTGGTAGGTAAGTGACTCAAAGTCAGCTCTACTGAAATGAATTTTCTTTCTGAAGACTAACTTATTTCATCTCTTCACTACATATCATGGCCATAACAAAACTCAGAACTTACATTTCTGACATCATATTACAGCACTGTGAAGTACAGAAAGTACGAAAAACCAGTAGGAGGTATCTGCCATTATCATCACAAATAGTATTGTTTTCATAGTTTTTATGTTCAAGTTGACTAGTGTAACCTACTAAATATCAATAAACAATGTTTCAACGAGTCTAGCTTGAGAAGGAATAAAAATATTCTTATATAAGTTGAATATTTCAACTTATGCTTTATTAATATTACCGGTCACTTAGAAAATTTTCATTGAAACTATAGGTGCTACTTTTGATATGGTCAGCTGTTTATTATTGAATTTCAATACAGGTAATTTTCTTTCCTAACCTTTGAGTGAGGACTTACAGCTGCTTTGATATACTGTATGTCCTAACGAGGTGTACACTCGAACACAGTGTGAATTTAAGTTTGTTTGATGGATCACTTCTATAGATATCCTTTATGTTCCAGGTACCAATCATTATTTGGCACGATAGCTAAGAAATTCAGCAGCAAAAGAGACCGTGGTCAAATAGAAGAAAAGTTTTCCAATTCTGAGGAAAATCCTCCGAAATCTAAAAAACATCGAAAATTCATCAAACCTGCCGACGATGACTGATGTCATGTATTAGTGTTTGGATATACACTTATTAGATCTCACACCGCCAAATAGGTGATGCAGTTGCCTGACCAGAAGCCGAGATCTATGGAACCTGTTACACTGCCTTTAAGTTTGTCTGGAAAATCCTTATCATGAATGTGGTACAACTTTTTTTTCTGCATGTTTAATTTGCATAAGGATATTAATTATTGTTTAAATATAGTGTAAGCATGGTTACATGTATTCTGGCTAAATGTAAGGGCTATGTAGATATGTACAGTGAGGCCTCCTCCAGTAACTGACCAACAGAAACCTTTAAATCACCAAGATGTTTGTGAAAGTGTAAATGGACTTAGGAATGAGATCTTATTAACTTGATCAGGGATATTTCACTGTGTGGATATGAAAGTAAGTCATTAATGCTGTCTAAGGCCAAATCAGAGTATTATTAGTTTCCTGCTATATGACCAGAAACAATAGGAGTGATCTGTTGGCAAATTAATAAAGCGTGGGTTTTTTTAAAAAAAAAATATTCTCACAATATTGATAACTGTAATGGGTTCATAATTATTTCAGTAGATTTTTTTGTATACTTGATATCATATGCAGACATTCTATACACAATTTAAAAGATATGTCATTGATCTTCATGGTAATGAAATTGATTAAAAAATAAAGATGTTAAATATTGAAAACAAACCTGCTAGAGAATCCATTTTCCATGATTGACTTTGGTTTTGTGTTCAGATAGACTCCATTATGGGATTTATTTCAGGACCAAAAAGGTGAATGGCCGAACTTTCTGAGGGTATCAAGAGCATATTATAAATATTATATATCGGCAATTAAAACTCATTTCACACTTGTTGACCACACACAGTTTACTAGACACTTCTTTTTGTTATGGGTTTGGTCTATTTTTTATCTACAGCCCAAACTAAGAAATTACAAAATCAAGAAAAATGGATTGTTTGAGATTAACAAAAATACAAAGGAGGAAACCCAGTTTTACCGTTACCTAGAATGCCATAAAATGTTTTATGGTTTGCATTAAAAATAGGTAGGCATGTTTTGTCAGGTAGCAGGAAAACAGACTATTTAGTTTTGGCCTTAGTCCAGAGATTTGTTATATTTATGTCTGTAAGCATTGTGAAGATGAAGAGGAATGTACATGTGTGATGGTTGATTGTCATATTTATCTTTCATTGGTAAAACTTTTTAACAAAGATTAATTGGTTAATTTTTGGTGATGATTTTTAAACTGTTTTACCTGTTATGTTTTAAACAAAATGTTTCGGGGTAATTATAATCTGCTATTGGCTATCAAAGTGTGAATGTCGTTAAATCGTTAAAGAAAGAAAATTATTTTGGTAATTTTAGAGTATTAAATATTCTACTCATACATGTCAGCGAATATAACTGTTTATGATATATATATATAAATTTATGTATAAATATTACATACATTGTATACTATGAATATGCGAATGAAATTACAATTTAATATGCGAATGAAATTACAATTTAATATGGAAATGAAATTACAATTTACATGATCTGTATCCTGTAGTGTTTCTTATTATTTTAGATCATGACTGTTGCTTTGATGTAACGTTTCACTAAATGTTCTCTTGACCATGACACATAGTATTTATATGGCAATATCATGAGGATCTTGACCATCCCAAGTTATGACCCAATAACCAAGTCGAACATGGCCCCAACAACAGCGATTGTAGCACGAGTCTAGACGTCCCTTTATGCCCAGCAATCATTGGGTTGGAAATCACACCAAATACCACCCAGTTCCTACTCCATAGAGTTAGACCAAGGGACAATCCTGGTATTGTGGTTGTGTTCATCTCATCATGTCAAGTAATTATAACTGTATGGTTATGGAGAGGGGATCTCAACAATTTTGATGTGTATGACCCATGGACTAATAAATAAGTTCTCAATGACCGAGCCTAACTCTTGGCCAATTCATGATAGCATATTCATGTTTTCATGAATAGAAATCATGTATTATTTTGGTGTTATTCATCGCTTTCTGCCTGTCAAATGTAAATATTTATATAATAGTGTTGTGGGTATCTCAGTAGATGTAATTTACAGGTAATAAACGGTCCAGGCAAGTCCAGGCAGTCCATGTTTTGTCCAGGTAAAGTCCAGGCTAATGTTAAAGTAAGGGAAGGTAAAAGGTCCAGGCTAATGTTAAAGTAAGGGAAGGTAAAAGGTCCAGGCTAATGTTTAAGTAAGGGAAAGTAACAGGTTCAGGCTAATGTTAAAGTAAGGGAAGGTAAAAGGTCCAGGCTAATGATAAAGTAAGGGAAGGTAAAATGGACTGGCTAATATATAAGTAAGGGAAAGTAACAGGTTCAGGTTAATGTTAAAGTAAGGGAAGGTGAAAGGTCCAGGCTAATGTTAAAGTAAGGGAAGGTAAAAGGTCCAGGCTAATATTAAAGTAAGGGCAGTCCAGGTTAAGTTGATAGAAATAGACAATAGACCAATTAGTTGACAGGTTAGAAGTCTAGTTGGCAGATTAGAAGTAAATCTAAATCTAAATCAGGTTAGAAGTCTAGTTGGCAGATTAGAAGTAAATCTAAATCTAAATCAGTTTTATGCGTCACTATTTCCAGGGTAAACGCAAGTCCATTATAACTCAAAGTAAGTGGAGACAGTTTTCATTCTTAAGCCGTAGTGGTGAATCAAGATGATATTGATAGCTCGGAGGAGTAGGAATATTTTGTTCCGCTAAGATAAAAGTATTTGATAAGATGTACATGGAACGATCACACATTATAGTAACCTGACCACACTCCCAGCAACATTTGTTATTTATAAAATGAAAAAAAAAGATAAGTGATACATGAAAGCATTCCGTACCCATACTTATATCTCTGATACTGTAACATACATAGCCACATTTCCTCACTGTCTACATGAGGATGGATGGTAGAGGTACCAAACCACCTGGAACAGAAAGGTTCGACGAGTAATCTATCGTGAGGCTGCAGCCCTATATACAGAATTGAAACTCGGTGTGGCAACATACAGAGAAGAGATGAATGCTCCCTACAATGGAAAACGGGTCTACCGGATCCGGAGAATTATAAAAAAATCTGCTGTCTCTTATGCATACGTTGTAAAATCAAAAATAACAGATTAGGCTGTGAAAATTTTCGAGCTTGTCAACATGAACATGAATGTCTGATGTACAAATCATTTTGAAGTGGAAAAAACTTAGCGTGAGTTTTTCATTCAATCGTGTATACCTTCGGACACATTACAACGTATGATGCATGTGTAACAAAGTTATAGCGAAAAGATAAAGAAATACGTGAAGAAAATCGGTAAAGTTCAGACACACCTATTCATTTGACTTACAGATTGTAGACATATAACATATTATGAGTGGTGATCAGTATGTGGAAATTGACGTTGATGCTGATCAGCTGCTTCCCATTATCGTTGAAGAATACGAGAGACGTCGTAGGTACATTTGCCCCATCTGTGTGTGTTATTGTGAAAACTATTCTGACAGAGGTAAAGAAACGATTAGTGAAACACATATTGATAGTACTGTAGACAAACAATGAAATAACACTATAACACTACAGTGGCGGATTCAGAAGTTTTTTTTGGGCTTCAAGAAACCTCCCACCCTGAAAATTGTCTTTCAAAATCATGTATTTTCACTATTTTCCTCAATTTTTCCCCACATGGANGGTCTCCGGATCCGCCACTGCACTATTGAAAAGAATACTAGTAACGTATCTATTTATTCTATTTATAGATGGACACTGGTACCACTCGCCCAGTTCACCTACACAGGACGAGCTGTACCGATCAAATGCTGACGTTCGCTCAGTGGGGCAGCTAGCTTGTGACGGATTTTTTTCACGAAGGTGTCGGTGATTACATTATTTGCCATAAGTGTGGGAAAACACTGAAATATTGGGAACATAAAAACTGTTCTGTAGAGTGTAGTGATCGTCATTCCATCCTATCCTCCAGGTGTGGATAGAAAGCATATTAACATGGAACGTGAAATGAATGCTACACTTTTGAATTCGTCAGTCATCAGTATGGGCATTTTATTTAAACTGACGTATGCAAACCATGTTCGAGAAATCATTAGTGAAAGACAATTTGGTATAAAAGATGCCTTTATTCATCTGAACGATATCAAAGTGATCCGAGACTTCATTCGAGAAACTGTTCGATTTAAAATAGAAAGAGGTGTATGAAACGCTTTCATATCACAATTGTATAGTGCTATATATTCAGAGCTTGGACGATTATAGCTTACAAAAACCAGCCAAGCGTTCTTTCAAACGAGTACGAGTGGAAGTCTCGGGTCTTAACGAGGAATTTCAGGTCGATCTTGCCGATGTATGGAACCTCTCTAAACAGAATGGTGGTATCCGGTTCCTTCTCGTGGTCATAGACGTATTCAGTCGCTTCTTATGGGTGGAACCTACAAAGACCAAAACAACGAAAGACGTATAAGACGCATTCATAAAGATCATCGGCAGGAGTAGAAAGCCGAAGTGATTGTATACGAACAAGGGTAAAGAGTTTACGGAGAAGTTGATGACTCAATATTGCAAAGTTAATGGTATTAAATACTTTACTAGTCACAATGACCAGAAAGCTGCCATAGACGCGCGCGACATAAGGAATAAAGACTAGGATGTATAGATAGTTCACGAAATACAGAACGTATGTGTATGCAGACAAGATTTCGTCAAGAGTTACAACGTCACACCCCACAGATCGTTAAACGGTACAGCTCCCAAAGACGTAAACAAAACAAACGAAGCCGATCTCTTTGCATACATGCACCTCATAAATAAACGTACAAGACGTCCAAAAAAGTAAACCGTTATGTCAAAGAAACGAAAAATAACATTTTAATTTAATATAGGAAGTCTCGTGAGAATTTCACACTTAAAACAACCGTTCACAAGAGCCTATCAACAGCAATGGTAATTAGAAATCTTCAAGGTTAATAATCGTTTCCTACGTCAAGGCATACCACAGTATCGACTGATTGACTTTTTAAACGAACCAATCACAGGGAACTTTTATCAATCCGAACTACAAAGGGTGGACAAGGACGAAAACGCGTTATGGTTCATTGATGAAAAATTGAAAAAGCGTAAGAGAGCTGGTCAAATCGAATGGTTCCTAAAATTCGACGGGTGGCCATCTAAATATAACCAGTGGATAGCGGAGAAGGATATCAGAGACGTAAGCAAAGCCTAAGATGTCACATTACTTAGTAATTCACAGTGATGGAAGTGAGAAATATTTTCCAAAAACAAACCTTACCATTTCGGTGTACATTTCCAAACACCGCTAAATCTATACGGAACATTGAAAGTGGCGTTGATGGACATAACGTTAACTCTATATCACTCCTATTTCAACTGGGACAATGAGCCACAATTGTAATTTAACAGGTGAATTCTTATCGGAGTTGATTTTATCTATTGTTTTTATTTTAATTTTAAATTGGATCATATATGTTTTGTGTGTGCAAGATGTGAAAAACTGTGCAGAAACATGTACTTGTTTAGCGTAAAAATGTACAATAACTTTGGTATAGAGTTTTTTAAGTTTGGTCCCGAATTTATCAAAATCTCTTAAGAAAACTCTAAATCTCCTTGATCAGTTTTCGAAGTATTCTGGCTTGACACCGAATTTTGAAAAAAAACAACTAAGGCAGTCTGGATAGGTTCCACAAATAGACGATGTAATGAGTGGAACCTTGAATTGACCAATGAACCTATTTAGCTTAAAACTTGAAGCTATTCCAAAATTAAATTTTAAAACCAAACTTAGTGATATCAGTAATACACTAAAACATTTTGTATAAAAGAAGACTGTCTGTCCTCGGTAAGATTACGGTAGTCAAATCTCTATTAATTCCAAAATTGACTCATTTATTTATGAGCTTAGCTAAACCAGAAGACAAACTTACTAAAGAAATAGAAAATACGTTTTTCAATTTTATCTGATAGATAAATATAGCTAGAAATCAGATTATACAAGATTATAAGGATTGTGGATGTAGGATGACGCACCTTGAATACTTTAATAAAGCATTAAAATTAACCTGGATACGGAGAATTCTCAATTCTGACGCTACCTGGAAAACATTACAACACAAATGTCAAAAAGTTGTCAACTTTGGGTGACAACTATTACAAAAGACTATCACAAAGATATAAAAGCCCATTTTGGATGGAAGTTTTTAGTACATTTGCTGAATATATCATAAAACTTAATATTAAACCCCTGACCTGCTAAAGCTACCATTATGGTTCAATATTCAGATAAAAGTAGATAACTCCACAGTTTTCTATCAAAGATGGTGATCTCGCACCACAGTACTGCTGTCCGTGAAATGTTGCCGCATATGTGACATCGACTACTTGACATCGACTACTTGTCATGAAAAAATGCTCGTCCTGAAGAGTCATGACGAGCGGTTCTGGGTGATCTAAATTAACTTTGGT